ATAGCCTCAGCCAACATTATAAAATGGGACTAGCAAGCACGAAGTCCATTAACTGTCTTTTGGAAAGAGCATTTTACACATCTTATATGTGTCTTCTACAAAAATGATTGTTTTGAAACTATTTCTGCAGAGAAAAAAATGTATTTTACAATAAAATATAACATTTTTAGCTTATATGAATATCTTAGCAAACTCTTAGGAATATTTTACATTTTAAATCCCATAGCATAATCCATTTCTTTTAGACCAGCTTCACAAACAATACAGCTGTAAAAGCAAAAGAAAATCCGTAAATTCTAATCTAAAAGAAAATCTGTAAGTCTGTTGCCTTCCTTGTATTACAGACAGCTATTCTTTTTTCCTCTATCTTATTCAAGTCAAACAGCCTAATCCTTTAGTTCCAACTGCTTTGTAACTCTGAATGTATAAGAAAAAATAATATTTAATATCTTTCACTAGAAATGCAATCCAAAAGTAGCATAAAAGCAGCAAGTTGCCTTACATTACCATATCCTTCAGGCATGGAACAGCTTTGACTGCGACCAAACAATCATTAAAGAAATGATTACATTACAAAATGGGAAAAAAATAATAAAAAAAACTTCACTTAATTCTGAGTAATACTCAAAGACTTCTCTCCTTCACACAAAATGCTTATTTATTGTATAAATAACATTAGTATGTAACGTAAATTGAAATGAGTTAAGAAGCAAGTTCTGTACATACAAGATGAAAATCCTTGAGAAAACCTAGTGTTCACATCATATCTTTGAGTTCAATTTACCTCTTTCAAGAAGATAAGGTTTTCCGACACATTGCCAGCAAATACTAATTAATGACCTTTAGACAGCTACACATTCCCTGCTTCTGAAACTGGTTTTGTGAAATATTCACGTACTTTGCCTCTGTAAGTAACTATTCCAATTCAATATCACAACCTTGAGTCACAAGCCAGAGTTTTGGTTCAAACATTTCCACTTCAAATAGACCTCAGCGAGAATAGAGGAAGCCAAGGTCTTGTTCTGCATAAAGTCTGTTTTACACTATTACAATTGACACTATATTCAATTACTTCTCTGTCTCCTTTCCAGACATCTTCCATGTCTGCTTATAAGTAACATTAGTAGATCCGATTAGATGAGTAATTCTACACAAGCTGTTTCATTTGCTGAAAAATAAGGAACTCTCAAAATTGGTAGAATTCACAGGAACTTCATGACTCATTATTAAATAGTCATATTTGCACTGGTTCCCCTCCCACATGTAATCGTGCATGTAAGCACCTCTCGCGACAAGACTGGTCCTGCTGGCTTCAGTGAGGCAACACACTAAGTCGGAGGCATACATTTTTGGAGGATACTAGGAGAGACTAACTACCCCTGAATGACCCTTCTGCCAGGTGGGCTGCAGGTACTGTCAGTGGAGGAAGGACTAGACCCCTGCTGTGCTCATGGTTCAGAGCACGTATAGCCTTCCCGTAGCCTCCTCTTTCCTCAAGTCACACACTTCTTCCCAATAAAGCACAGGATTTCTTTAATTAAAAGGATGGGAACACCCTAACAAGCTTCTCCAACACGGGAATGCAAAAGTGTAGAAACTGTGTCCCATAACACATGCTTTGATAAATCCTGCATGATTACATCAACAACTGCAGAAGAAACGTGGCAATCCACACAGCGATCTGAGTTACAGAGCAGCACAATGGAAGCAAGATCCTAAACCCTGACAGGGAGATAGTCTCCATGCTGCAGGTCAGTCAGTGTTGGGATGTATTTCTGTCAACATGACTTTGAAGGGAAGATTGCTGCTGCTACGTCTTAGATGAAGCAAAATTAGAAATATATGTCCCACGTGTCATCAAAAGGTTTTATTTGTCTACTTTCTAAAGGGGTCTAAATATTCATCTGAAAAAAAATAAAAAATCTGCTGGTTTTATCCTTCTGGGAGCAAACACAGCAAGGTGCTAGAGTCAGATCTTTCTTTGTACCAAGAGGCTATCAAGAGTACTGACACAGGGAAAGTGACCTGCGTTTCCACATCTGGGTAACTGAAAAGTGAAGAAATTACAAAGCAACAAAGACAGAAACTAAAAAGAATGTAAGTGGAGAGTGAGGTGGAGAAAAAAAAAAAAAAGCCAGTGATAATGAGAGAGAGAAAAATGGTTTACTAAATTCTAACTGAAAGCTTTGTCACAGCTAATTTAAAATACTCAGAATCTTCTTTCAGTTTTAGAAAGCTGATGAAAGAATAAGCTAAATTTAAACCCTGCTTATTAAGAAAATTAAAAATGCATGAAATTAGCAACATTTCTACATTCACTACTATCAAGCTGTCTAAAATTTACTGGAACGGCAATGACAAACGACTGCTTTTGACAACAGTTACCCACAGAGCGTTTGATAATTTATTCTGAAAAGCAGTAGATGTCTAATAGCAACAGAAAAAGAGTAATATTGTACTTTGTACTTCTGCTCAAATTTGTCAGATTCAATGCTTACATTGTCTTCATGTAGATAAATCGACTTGTCCAAACAGCCAGCTACGTCATTACTATTTAATCAATGCAGCAGCTGCAGAACTGCCAGAAGGCCATCACGTAACAGAGGGGACTTGACCATGGAGGATTTCACAACTGCTCATTTTTCTCTTCTGCAAGCATGCAGATTTCTATACAGAATTACACATATCAGCCCAAACGTTTCTACAGAGAACATTCAAATTCTTCCATGGCTGTGACAGTCCATTAACAGAAGAAGCCTGGTTGTAGTTTTCACAGAATTCCAAGATAAAACCAAACCAAATGTAAAAAGGACACAGATCCTTCGTAATTCTCCTTTATAGTAATACCTCATGTTCCTAGTAAGCTGATACTACTGCTCAGTGACAAACTGCTTGCCATTCTGCAAGCCTATTTTCTGTTCAATCAGTACAGTTGACACGCACCGTGATATTTTATTTCACACAGCAGAGATGTGGTCAGAAGTCTGAGCCACGTAACATGCATTAACGGCCTTGCCTAAAGCCTGTTGGTTTTAGCGGGGATTTGCACCCGTCAATGAAGACAATACAAAACCTGACACCCAGCAGATTAACGTCAGCACAATGCCCTGTTGTGCTGGGAATGCTCCTTTGGGTCTTACGCTTGCTGGGTGGCAAACGCCAACCATCCTACATTGCCTTCAAAGAACTTCAGCTGAACCAGCTGAGCTCTGCCTACCTTACGGGGCAGCTGTTTTTGTTCTGCTTTGCCTGAAAGGCACTGAGGCTGTATCCATGCAACCTCCCTGATGCCACTTTCAGAAAGTGACAAATTAAAGATATAAGGGAGGGACATGTTTGTTGCTGATGACAATGAGTGAAATTTAACTTTTAATGTCATTTTTTGATATTAAAATAGATTGTGCAGTAGCCAGAGGAAAGATACGGGTTCATAACATATGGCAGCACAGTAAGGTGTGAGACCATCCTTGTTTGGTCCATTGCACATGGTCTTCTGAAGAGACTGTAGAGTATAAAATGTAGATGTTGAGAACAACAAATTCTTATCTAATTCTTGGTATGGTACAACAAATATGAAGTTGTTATCCCCCAAGTGATTTTTTTCAATTTTTTTTTTTTTATACTTCTTTTCTGATCTGTAGGCTAACTGCTTTCAGTGCTACCAAGCACAAGTAGCAGGGCTTCCATTAACAACCCAGCCTCGTTACAAACACAACAAAGTCAAGGGACCTCTGCCACTCGGGCTTGTACCTTCTGTACTGGCTCTCTGTACTGGAGGGGCCAAGGTCCTCCAGCAGCAGGCAGCTAAGCACGTTCTTGCAGCAAACAAGATCAGAGGTCTGCCAAATCTAGCCTGCCCACCTTACCCACTGCATGAGCCCAGCCTGGGGCCTACAACACTCATCGACACTGTTTGATCACCAGCTGATTATGGCATTGCTCTTCTTATCAGACAGCACTGGAGTCTAGCTGGCACTTCATACTGAACTAACCTGGAACAGATGGAGAGTACTCAAGTTCTAACAGCATTAGTATTTTTTTGACCCATTGTGCACCTTGCAAAATTATTATTTTTGTTTAATAGGTTGCTACAAAGTATGCTACCATGGCTTCCCATTCCATTTTGAACATCATTCACATTTTTAGCTCAATACTTCAACAATGTTCTCAAATTTTTGTATTTTTATGTTTGGGCTTGAGGCAGGTAAAACACAGTTTCCTCTAATAAGCTTTATAAGCAGAAACACTGCAGTTCCCAGTTTCTTGTTCCTCCTTGCTCTGAGGCCCACAGAAAGAGCTGATGCTTCTTAATTACAACTTTACATTGCTGCAAGCCATTTATTTTCCTTCAGAGCTCAGTTACATTTTTCCTCTTCCATTATCTGCAACTGAGCTTGTTAACTATTATTAGACTGGAGAAGTCGCTCAGCTGCCAGAGGAGCAAGTACCCTACCTTTAACAAATTTAATAGGATTAGTTCTTTGGGTACGGACATCAGTGCAGAAAGGGACTGTTCTTCAGGACTGAGATGAGAACACCTCTTTACGCTATATTTCAGCAAGTTATTAGCTACCACCAGGGCAATTTTTGGCGTTTCAAGCCCTATGTCATTAACCTGCTCCGTACCCTGAGCGCATGGAAGGAGATCAGGTATCGGGCACTTCCACCCGCGCCTTCATAACCCCACAAAACACACCAGGAACGGCAGCAGCCACAGCTCCGCTCCAGCTCTCCGACCACGCTTCCTGCACTGAGCCCCCAGGGTTCTGTCCGGGCGGTGGCACAAGCACACGAGCGGGCTGCTCCGCTGCAGGCCGGCGGCCGGGGGGGCTCGCTCAGGGTGCCCGCAGCGCTCCACGTGCCCCGCGCCCGGCCGGCCCCGCGCAGCGCCCGCGGAGCCGCACAGCGCAGCCCGAGCCGCGGGGAGCCGCGGGGAGCCCCGGGGCCACGCGTCCCGTCCCGCCCCGCCCCGTCCCGGTGCCGCCTGCCCCGGCCGCTACCTGAGCTGCTTGGGCTCCAGCTTCAGCTTCTTGGCTTGCGGCTCCCCCGCTGCCATCTTCGCGGCGCGGCGCGGCTCGGCCCGGCCCCGCCGAGCAGGGCGGGGAGGGGGGGGCGGAGGCGCGGGGAGCAGCCGCTCCGCCCGCCGCCCGGCCCCGCCGCCGCCGCCCGGCCGCCGCCGCTCCGCCCGCCCGCTCCGACCCCCCGCGGGCGGCCCCGTCCCCCGCCCGAGGCCGAGGGGCGCCGCGGGGCCGGCGGCGGCGGCGGGGCCGGGGGGGAGCCGAGCGGGGCGAGGCCGGGCCGGGGCTCCCCGGGGCCGCCGCCGGGCGCCGCGCGGAGCAGGCAGCGCCCCGGCCGCCCGCGCCTCCGCCGGGGGGCGGCCCCGCGCCGCCGGGCCTCGCCGCCATCTTGGCCGCTGCCCCGCGAGCGGGCCGCGCCGGGCAGGACGCGGAGGTAGGTGGGGGGCGGGCGGAGGCACCGCGCTGAGGCGGCCGGGGGCAGCCCCGGGGGGCTGGAGGGGGCGGCAGGCACCGCGAGGGGCTGCGCCGGGTCGCCAGGGGAAAGGCCCGGGGCCTGCGGGAGGGGATGCACGGACCCCCGGCCATAGCCCGGAGCTGCTGCCAGGGGATGGGGCAGGGGATGGGGATGGGGATGGGGATGGGGATGGGGATGGGGTGCCCGAGCCCTGGCACCCAGCGCCCCTCAGTGTTTCAGGGTCACTGCTGCCAGCCTGGACCTTTCAGCCTGAGCGCACAGCGCTTGCCTCATTAATCATCAATGGTCCTCCTGAGCGTTGGCCTCTGTAATGTGTCCTGGGCATTAATCCGCTGTCACCCATCACTGCATCCCTCCTGCCCTGCTCAGTGCGCAGCTGGGGCAGGCTGCAGCTCCTCGCCCCCTGTGTCAGGGGTAACCTGCCCTGAGGTGGGCATCCACCGCTCCCTCAGCACGCCCAGTGGTCCCGAACCGCTCGGTGTTGGCGTGGCTGAAGGAACAACTTCGTTAAATGTCGCTGTGGTATACACGACCAGGCAAAAAAAGATAGTCATGCCTGAATAATGGAAATTTGTGTTCATAGAAGGCAGACTGCGGTATAGGAGTGGAAAAGCTGTTTTCCAGGAAAAGCACAAGCTAATTGAATTGTTCATGCAAGAGGTAAAATGATAGAAGCACTCTTGTACAAAAGGACTAGGCCAGCCATGAGGCTGATTCAGCCAGCAGTTCCCAGCAGTTAAAAGCCTTGCTGGTACATCACTGTAAATATCTGGGATTTAGTCTGTGGTATCGTGCGTGTCGTGTAACTCAAAAACCACAAGCACACACAGATTTGGGAGAAAATGAGTCAAGAAAATTCTTTCCTGTCTGCGTGCACATACCTGAACACTCCTCACTGATGGCAAATGAATCAGTAAGACCCCTCCACATCCTCTAGTACTCAGCTTTGCTTTCCTTGTCCAGAAGTGAAGTTTCCCGTTGTGACAAATAGCTGTGTACCAGTTAAGTCCCAGTCACACCTTCAAGCAGTGCTCTCCTTATGAGCAATTCTGCATTAAGCAATATTAGAGAAATTTTGTCGTGAGGATTTCTGAAAGAGAAATTGGAGTTCATAAGGTAGAGAGGCCTGAACAGCAGGTGAAAAATGGCAGCTGTACACCACAGCTGTAATAACGGGAAGAAACCAAATTAAACCTTTTCACAATGTATTTTCTTCCTCCTGCTTTATTTTCAGCCAAGCTACTTCCTGTACCACTTTACTGTATATTAAACTTAGTTAATACACAAACAACATGCAATATTGTTTTTATGGTTGTTCAGCGTACGTGCATAAGAGGCTGCTCTTTAGCAGGAACTTTTTGGAAGATTCTTTAACACTCAAAATTCTGGAGCCTGATTTTGATCAGATATGATGGTAGAATTAAAGAGTACAGCTCTGTTCTCTACTTGTGGAAGAGAAGGTAAATAAAAATGTGCCTTCCTTTACCGTTTGGACTTTGGACTAGTTGTGTCAGAGTGCACGTCTGTTAGGGAGAGCTGTCGTTTCCAGCAGGGTGCTTCTTGGCTCAGGTCTAGGATTTCAGTAGTGCGTGGCTCTGTGGCCCTGCGCTGTCCTTTCGTGAACCTTGAGCGCCTCTTAAAATAGAGCCCATGAAAAGAGTGGCATAAAGCTGGTGGCACCCTCGCTGCAGCCTGTCAGAGGTACTGGAGCAGTGAACTGGAGGAGCAACTCAGAACACATTTTCCCAAGTAACTACTGAGATGAGGCCTTTGTGTTCTGTGATCAAATCCTGCTGCCTTGGACATTCAAAGTTTCTGGTGGTTCTGGGAGCCTGACAGTCCTATCGGTCTGTTTCTGAAACACCTGGTGACAAGATATTGACCGTACTGTTTCAATTTGGTCCTCTCTATGTCTTTATTCAGTAATGCTTTCAGAGAGTGGATTTCTTAAATGGTCCATTAGCAGTCCTAGATTCCCCGATTTGGACATAAATTGTATTGGAAATGCTCCATCTTCGTGTAAAAATGTCGCTTCAGCAATTAATTTTTAATATTATTTTTTTCTGGGAGACTTTATTGGGTTTTCAGCTTTTACAGTGAAACCTTCTGTTCCTGCAGATCTCAAATGGAACCACAATTATTCAGTATCTAATACTGCTTGATTATTCTGAATCTAATATTGTTGTGTTGGCAAGAGATGGAACAAGCTTGCCAGCATTTAGAAGATTTATACTGAATTGTACAGAGGCACCATGCAAATATATTATTGGAAAGCTGATCAGTCAGATGAAATGCTGCACAAATTGTTATGCAGGATGTGATTTTTTTTTGTATAAATACAGAGGAAGTTGGAGAGGCTGTTCTGGACACTAAATACTGATTTAAGACAACATCAGAATATTCTCCGAGGACTGCTTCCTTTCACAATCAGTTCCAGAAAGTCAGTAACAAGATTTTAAGCAAGAGGGAAGGTAAATAAATGTACATTGAGTATCTGGGAAGCAAAGTGTTTTGGCTTTAATAGGGATGAGTTTGCTTATGAGATGTACATCTAAGTGGTTGTTGCACAGGCACCAGCACTTGGTGCTCTTAGGTGACCGCTGAATTGGTTCTGGGAGTTTTGCTTGAGTAACAAAGAAAAACACTGGGCACTTCTTTAGAAGGGGTGCAAATACATTTTCACCCTAACGTGGATGCCCTAAGCTGTGGGCTCCTTATAAATGAAGAGATTAATGACAACTTCAGTAGCAGCAGTAAGATATGCTAACAGCAATAGGAGCCCTCCAAAAAATAAAAACAAAAAACCTTGAAATTACAGACTGTTCTCATTTTAGTAAGATCTGAGGCTCACAACTACTGCTGTTGTATCTGGCTAATTGTAAGTTCAGAGCTGTCACGTTGGCTGCCTTGTAAATGTCATTGAAGTGTTTGATAGGACTTCTCCTTGGTAGGTTTGCTATTTTAAGAATCACTGAATGGGGCTGGGGGGGAGGGAAGCAAAAGTGGTTTGGTTTTGCCACATCTGTGGCACATTTGTGACATATCTTGAATTTATTGCAAAAAGCTAGCTTAAACTACCGACCAGCTGCTTGTGACAAAAATACTAACTCTGAAGTAGAAATAGAATCATCTATTTGAGCTTATTTGTTTCTCCATATTACTCTGAGCATTTGATTACTTTCCATTCTCTTAAGGGCTAGAAGTTCATTTCCACAGATACACAGCAGAGGCTCAGGCAGTCTGCTCCCACTAATCCTTGTGCCCTTTGGAGCAGCTGTGCCAGATGCAGGGGACGTGGGAGCTCCAGAATATTTTCCAGTGATGGTTCCACATCGAGCCCTGTTCAGTAACACTCTGAAGGGCATTGCAGAGGTCAGTGACAAATTCCTCAGGTCCTGGTTTTCGGAGTTCTGGCTGTAATTCAGCTCAGTGTCAGGGAAAAGCAGCTGGCAACAGAATTTCTGCCGTTAGTTAAATTTTAGAGTACTTGGTTGTAGCTAAGGACAAGCAGATACAGTCAGTGTTTTTCCCATGATCACAGCCCTTCCAGCTTTCCAATGAGCTCTGCTTTTGTCTCGTAAGCCTGCTGCGATTTCGGTCCAGATGTTTCTGCCAAGAGATGGGGGGAAAAAAAGTGAAATTGCAAAATCCAGATTTAATCAAAAGAAAAGGCACAGAGTTGGAAATAGCATATTTGAAGACATCTAAGTTAAAATATTTGCTTTTTCTTTGAGGGCTTCGCGTTTTGAAGAGTGAAAATGACCCCATAGAGCTGTGAGGAATTTCTTAGGTCAGCACCTTAACGAGGGTGGGAGCGAGGTCTGCAAGAAGCAACCACGCAGCCTGTGCTGGGCTCCTCGTTGCTGCAGTGACGGGAAGATCTGCAGCCAGCAGGAGTATTGAAGGATATCTGCCTATTAAACATTACCTTGAATGGCTTCCTCTGGACTAAAGATGCAAATAATAAATCACAAAGTCCTTTAGTCTGCTTCCTAGGTAGGCCTCGAAGCAGCGAGATGGGAGGCACGTCCTTTTGAAGGACATCCTTTATTTTACACAGGGTGTTTGCATGCTGCCCTCTCAAAGTGGTGTGTGTGTCCACTGCTGCAGAGGCACTCCCTGGTTCTTAAATTCTGGCAGTGTGCCTTTGCTGCTGTATTTTAAACCGATGGACTTTGATTCAAGACCTTTACCCTCAAAGCGTCCCAGTTCCTAAGCTTTGCTCTTTGCCCACTGGTATTTACTTGACCTAATGGTGTGAGGAATCTCACTGTTAATGGAGTGATTTCTTATGTTTAGCTTTTCTAATCTTTTTGTCTTTGCAAATCTCAAGTTCTGATGGGGTAGAAGGACAAGGTTAGATAATGAGAAAAACTCAGGGATGTCTCCACGTCTTATATGAAGCCTGGCAGCCAAAAAATAGAGTAGCAGGGAAATCCTCGGTATTGGAAGCACTGTAAGTAAATTTTGTTAAATCTTACTTTATAAAATATATGTTTGTAGTACTAGCAATTGCAAGGTAGACAACATCACATCCATCTGTATCTGGCTGGTGCCAGTTTGACAGTGAGGGGTAGGTGAAATGGGTTTGCGTTGCGTTGCTCTACGAGCTGCCTTACTGTGGTCAGCACTGACAGAGAGCTGATCTGCTGACCGATGGAGCAGGCTGTGCCCGTGGGTAGTGGGGTGCTGAACGTCTATACAAGCTGCAAGGCCAGAGCTACAATTCTCCAGAGCACTTCTAATTAAGTTTCTCATTAGCATACTGCTAAAGGCTGTGAAGGAGGAAGGAGCGTGTGAGGGGTTGTGAAGGGAATGCTTGCTCTAAAAGCAAAATCAGTATGTATCATGGGACATCCTCTAACACGTACCAGGGGACAGGGAAGGCAGCGAGGTGGGAATTTACTCCTGGTTTCCACAGTCGCCATGAGGCCATAATCTGCCGGGCACGGCCCCTGGGTCAGTTTGCTTTTCCACCTCGCCCCAAGGCCGCACAAAGTCACGAATGCAGCTGGCGTCTGGGCATCTGCAGCCGATGAGTAAATAGGGGCAGGGGTCCAACGCCACCGCCCCTCTGGCCGTGCAGGCCCTCCCTCCACGGCACATAGGTCACGGCCTGATACCGTGCGTGGGGTTCATTGCAGGGAAGAGGTCCTGCCAGCAGCCACTGCTGCAGCTGGGAGCTGGCTGCAGGCAGAGCGCGGCAGCGTGGCCGCACCTAGGTCGCGATGCTGTTGGCGTGCTGCACGCTGTGCTCGTTAAAAATGCAGCGTAACGAAGCAGTGGCTCCTGACCTAGAACCGGTGTGAACATTTACAGCTGGACAGCTGAGAGGGCTTGAAGGCACTGCGGGATCCTTCTCGGGTGCAGTGTCAGCAACGCTGCGGGTCGGCCCTGGGCTGAACGCCCCCACCCAGCTTGGGGCGCACACACTGGGACTGGGGTTTTACGGCCGGTAACAGATACACTATTGTATCCATATTAAAATGTACAGAGAACTATTCTGAGCTTTACAGCTGATCACCTTCATATGTTTGGCTGCCTTGGCGCGGAACAATACTGACATTCAGCGGTTGATTATGCTCAGCGCCGCTGTGCGGCTATCCGGGAGATTTTGGAGGTTTTAATGTCCAGCGCTGGCTAAATTCAGAACATGTTTAGTTAAACTGGATTACAGCATTGTGTCAGGGCTCCTTTGTGAGAACGCTGTGCTCATAGTATAAAAATTGCCTGCCTGTTCGTTTTTTAGCAAACTAAATTAGAGATTAAATTGGTTCAGAAAACATATAGCAGAAATATTCAATGGTGTCACTTTGTAGCTTTGTTTTCTTTCTCACTTTTAAACAAATCGGCAATCACCAATTCCAAAGTAACTTCCCCTTATGTGCTGCATTGGCTTAATTGGATTTTCCAGTCCACAGATTGGCCGTGGGTCCCTTTGTGCTTACCACCAAGGACAGCGTGCTTTTTGACAGGAGTTGCCAGGGATGCGGTGCGGTCCCAGCGGGCCCACTGGTGCCTTGCTGTCATCTGCCCCCTCCTCTGCACCAGATGTAGCGCGCTCTGGCAATGCAGCAACTTGCATCAGGAAGCTGATTTGATCAGAATCGCCTTTTTCCGTGTCAATTTATGACCAGACCAGTTTCCTAATATAGGTAATTGCAAAGCTGCAGGCATGGTAATATTGATACTTGGAAGGCAGCTGGGCTGAACAGAGGCAGCTTCTTCAACTGCAGAATGTGTTTATGCAGGATGCAAGTACCACTTCAGCTTGAGGAGCCTGTGCTTGGGTTAAATTTTGATGGCTTTGTTTTCTAAGCCTGAATTTAAACTTAATTTTGTCAGTGTGGTTATGCTGCAGGTCAGCCAAGGCTTTATAGCTTTATAGCTTCCATAGCTTTAAATATAGCTTTATAGCTTCCGTAAGCTGAACCCTCACAGCTTTGTCTCTGGCACAGATGTGGAGAAAATAGTTGATTCACTTTGGTTTGAATCAATAACTTTGTTCACTTACTGTCACATTGCAAGTTGAGAAGTAGACTGGGAATTAGTTTTTTAAAAAGGCAGATAAGCTGCTTTTCCCAAGAATAAAATGAAGGATCAGTGGCTGGGGTATATTATTTGTAAATCTTGAAAGATACAAGAAAAAAAAACAGTCACATTCCATAACTGCAGCTAATGTCCCCCTTGTTTCATGAGTGAGTTAGTTTTTCATTGTATTTTAGAGGCTATTTTTTTTCATTTGAAACAATTTTGTTAGGTAAAACAGGTAAATTTATGTTTTTGTGTACTTTTAATGAATTTCAGTCCTTTATCCAATTGCAGCTTAGTGTAGATCATAAGCAAAAGACTAATTAGCTAGCAAATAAAAAACACTTTTCTTGTTCACTAGCTAAAGCTGACAAGCTAATGAAATTCCTCTTCGAGATACCACAGTGCTCAGTTACGCATGCAGATGTTATGCAAACTCCTCTGCCACGAGAAAAAAAAAGGAAACTTAAATCATGAAGTTATCATTGCATGTTGCTATGCATGTTTGAGTGAGTGCCGACTCAGGACAGTCAGCTGTGATTTAAGAAATAAATTACAAATGCCTGGTATGGATGCAAGTAGAAGTCGAGGGTGCTGGCTTCTTGCTTACGTTGTGATACATGGTAACAGCTTAATCCACTGTGGATTATTTTGTGGCAGAGCATTCCTTAAATAAAGAAAACGTATTTTTTTTTAAAGAGAGCAGTATCCTAAATTCACACTGCATATTAGTAAACAATAGCCATAATAAGAAAGGGAACGTGGGAGAAGAAGTAATGTTAATCCTCAATTCCTTTTGTTTATTTTAACTTCTTTGAATTTGTTTCCAACAGAAAATGATCCACAGCCTGTTTCTTATAAACTGTTCTGGTGATATATTCCTGGAGAAGCACTGGAAGAGTGTTGTGAGCCAGTCTGTGTGTGATTATTTCTTTGAAGCTCAGGAGAAAGCAATCGATGTTGAGAATGTGCCTCCTGTCATCTCAACGCCACATCACTACCTCATCAGCATCTATCGGGATAAAATCTTCTTTGTGTCTGTCATACAGACAGAAGTGCCGCCGCTCTTTGTAATCGAATTTCTGCACCGAGTAGCAGATACTTTCCAGGTCTGTCACCATTATTTAATATTAAAATTGAAATAATTCCAAAGGAATTTTTGTATAAATGTCTTTTAAAGAAAGGTAATAAACTGTCCTGCCTGTGACTTTCCCCTTTGCAGTTGTTAAGTCAGTTGCCAGTTTATAGAGTACAAAGGAAAAGAGAATTATTTTGTGTATTCATTTGACTTCTAGAGACCAGCACGCAAGCACTAAAACCCAAATGCCTGTCTGTAGAAGCTGCTTTTTGTCTGTAAGCTTTCATACTGTTCATGTTATATAGATAAACTAGGAGGAACACAAGAAGGAAGGAAGAGAGGTGAAATGAGAGTGAGTTTTCAACTTCTTTGACAGACACGGTAAATAAAGGAACCTCCCTGAAAACTGGTCATTACCAAAAGGTAGTTTCCATATTTTACAGCAGTCTTCTAACTGAAGGCATGTTAATGTTCAGAAATGGGAGAACCCTTGGGACATACGTACATAGTAAACCAGATTACATTAATTTCACTGTTCACACTGCCTTTAATTCTAATTAGATGATAAATGTGACCTGAACATATGATGCAGTCACAGTATAGAAGTAGCTTTTCAGCTTAGGCACTAAAGTTCCTTGAGATATTGGGGGGTAAGCTGGAAAAAAAAAAAGGCAGAACATTTTAACAGGAATAAAAATCCTTCTCTTTATAATCTCTGATTTGTTTAGGATTACTTTGGCGAATGTTCTGAGACTGCAATTAAGGACAATGTAGTTATTGTGTATGAGCTTCTGGAAGAAATGTTAGACAATGGCTTTCCACTGGCAACAGAATCCAACATACTGAAGGAACTGATTAAGCCTCCCACAATTCTGCGCTCCGTCGTCAACTCCATCACAGGTATGAAAATAAACTTTCAGAGGTGTCGGTTAGCTTAAAAGCAAAGCCCCATCACGCTTCACAGCTAAAAGATAATATTATATTGGCGTGAGTGTGTAAGGTGAGGTCACTGTCAACTGGCTGGTTGAGAAAAAGCAACTTCTTCCTTATTTGCAGTTTATGTGTGGACCCTTTGATGTCCCCATGACGCTGCTGGTCCAGCCTCAGCTGCTGAAGTCCCTCAGGAATAGCAGTTCCCAGCTCAGACAGCACATACTGGAGACAGGTGCTCAGGGAGTGGTACAGAGCTAGCCCAAGCCTTGAATAACTGAGGGGCACTGGAGAAGGTTATATGTGCTATAAGAAATGATTGTATAAAGGTATATAACAGCTATCTAATAAATCTTTGCTGGCTGGGAACAGACAGCCTGTCCTCGGCCCCCCGCCACCCTCAGCATCCATCACGCTCGGTGCAGTTTCGAGCTGCTGTAAACGCACTCGTCTTGCACTGACAGAGCCACGTGTCTGTCAGCTGAGCTGGTGGAATCTGCTGGTCTGGCAGGCAGGAGCAAGGGCGGTAAGCCATGAGGTGTCACATGGGGCCGAGGATACGTGAGATGTTTGCCCGTACATTGTGCTGGGATGGGCAGTAGGTGGGCTGCAGGGCCACGCAGGGGCAGCGCTCAGAGGAGTTGGTCTTTGGGGTATGGGTAGCACACAAGGTTTAATTTTTTGTTACGGTCTCATTGGTGTTAAATTGTGTGGCATTTTTTGTGTGTTTGTGTTTTTTCTTTTTTCCCCTGAAAAATGATGTTAGCAGTTATTTCACAATCATGTAGCTCGTGAAGCCCTCTTCTCACACTGGGTGGTGGTAAGAGCTGCAAGCCAAGGGTGACGGCAAGGCAGGCAGGGGCAGTGGCCTCCCTGACAAGGAGCCAGGAAGTTGAGCCAATGAGTCAGGGCCAGATCAGAGCTGCAGATGATAACAGGGCCAGCTACAGATCAGCGATCACCGGGTAAATCCATCATGATCAGGCAAGTAAAGCTAGAAAGTTCAGCCTGTGGGCCAGGGGCTGGATCAGCCAGGCACGTGGTCAGGCACAGATGTGGCCGTCACATCCCTGCTGGGTAGCTCAGGTGGGCACCAAGAGTGACAGCCTTGGATTTAATAGTAGTTCTAAAGTGAAGGGGGTGGAAACTCTCCCTAAGGCTTCTTCCAGGTCTTTCTCCATAACAGCTCTTATCAGCAAATTGGCCATGAAGGCAACCAGATAGAACACCAAGAAGATGGGAAAAGGGTACTCGAAGCCTTTGCAGGGAGCTACGATGTGTTCAGCTGTAGTGATGAAATCCTCTGGAGGATCTAGCCCCCCATCTACTCCTACTCAACCCTGCCGCTGACCTGAGCTTTGTATTTTGCTGAGCAGATTATTAAATTAAAAGCTCTAAGTCTGGATGCATCCATAAAGTTTGTTCATGGCACCTAACAAATTAAATTTTAGTGGTTTGGGTTTTAGCTTGCAAAACCTGGGGGCCAGATCTTACTTAGATTCTTAATTGTTGTCATTGCGACATTACATTTGTAATTATTACTGATTTTGAGTTCTTTTCCATTTTTAAGGCAGCAGTAATGTGGGTGACACACTTCCCACCGGACAGCTGTCCAACATTCCTTGGCGCAGAGCAGGGGTAAAATACACAAACAACGAAGCCTACTTTGATGTCGTTGAGGAAATTGATGCAATTATAGACAAATCAGGTAAGATGCCTTGCAAACCCATTTTTGGTTGTTGACTGTGTCTGCATCTAACCATTAGTGTTTAGAGACAACAGTCCACTTTTTTTTTTGCACTTGTTCCCTATGCATGAATCTATGTCTTAAATAGAAATACATGACCAATTCAAAATGACATGCTGAAATGTATTCCTTTAGTTTACCTCAGAAGAGCAATAATGCTTAAAAAACATACTGTACAGCTACAAGAAATATTCTGTACTTTGATATTTCTGATTGCATGTTGTCTCCTGAGATACAAATGGAAAAAAATACTTCATTTGTAAGGTGATGGCAAAACTATCTTCCCATAGTTCTTGCCAATAATCTATCTCATTGCTTATGGGCCATCACGTGAATGAGACAAAAGAAGTCATCAGCCTTCCTCCAATAGCAAGACAAAACTTGTTCCAGGATTGCTGGAAGTGTTGTTTTTCTTGTGTATAAACTGGAGTTTCTACATATCTTCTAAAAGAACCTTTGCTTGTAGGACTAATTAGTGCAGAGTCCTGCTCATGCCTTTCTGTCCGTATAGAGCACTTAAGAAAATGATCCTTTTCTGGATACAGTGCTTAGCAGTCTTGTGTTTTCCTTTGGCTATAGATTTATTTAACATCAAGGTGAATAGGTACTCTTCTTGTTAAACAGGCCGTGTTTGTGAAAGCTCAAGCTGATGATGACAGCTTGTGCTTTATGGCACAAACTTACTGTGTTTCCATATTGACGGTTTTCATGTGCTTCGACTGTCCTGCACCTCTACAACTGTCTCCCTTTTTCTGGAGACAGTAGACAGTGTAGACAAAAGGAAGATTGAGAGCTTGCATATTCTGGAATTTTTACTTGCACGTTGCTTGCAACAACTTCAGACGTACCCAGTACAAGTTCTTTGTAACAGCTTGCAAAGGTATAATTAGCTGATTTGGAACAAGATGTTTGCTCTAGCTCCTGTATTTTAGCAAGCTGCCCAGGCCACAGGTAACTGGAATGACCTTTCCTATCTCTGATTGGCACGTTCCCGAGTGTTGTGCAAATGTCGTCTGTGCCCTCTAGCTGCACTTCAGGTTTGGTAGGCCCATGATAATATGTTAATTGAGGTGTCTTTTTTTTTTTTTTTTTCTTCTCCCTTTCACAGGTTCCACAGTCTTTGCAGAAATCCAAGGTGTTATTGATTCGTGTATTAAGCTCTCAGGAATGCCGGATCTTTCTCTTTCTTTCATGGTAAGTTTAGCAGTGTGTTTGTCCATTTTAATTGCTTAAGAGGCATTTTTCTTAATGAACAGAGTTAAACAAATGTGAGAGCACAATTACTACTTGATATGTTAAACAGGAAAAATAACACATCGAGTTTTGAATCGTATTGCAAAAGTTGCTGCACTATTCAGTAGTTGGGATGGGTTTTGTCTGTACACAAAAATACGCTTGTGGGAACTACTGTGTTGTGTCAGACCAGAAATACGTTTAGCTCAGTAATGCATCTCAGAAAGTGGCTAGAAAAGATACTTAAGAGTATAAAAAGCAGGAATTGTGTAGTGCTTCAGTAGTTAGTTCAAACTGCTGATGTTTTATGAGATTCTACTTACCACTTTACCGCTATTTACAGAATCCAAGGCTGCTGGATGATGTCAGCTTCCATCCATGTATTCGATTCAAACGCTGGGAGTCTGAAAGAGTCCTTTCGTTTATTCCTCCTGATGGGAATTTCAGACTGATCTCATACCGTGTCAGTTCACAGAAGTACGTTCTGGTTTAGACATACTGGTTCTTTACATACTTAGATAGAAAGCATTAGATAACTGTAACTGCAGATTTCTCCTTGTTAAGAGGGGAATTTGCATTATTGCCAAAAAAACGTGTTTTCCGATTTTGTCTGATCTGGTGCTGTGTCCCCACTAAAGAAAAGAGCATTTCAGCAAGCTGCTGATAGCGAGCAATCATTTTTCAGTGGGATAAACCGTGTGTGGTAATAATGCAGGGCTATTGATTTCTGGTAATCAAGGTTGCTGCTAGATGCTTTGTGGCTAAGTTTCTGTGTAGACAGAGGATTCATATCTTCATAAAAAGAATAAAGCAAAAAAGTCAAAATTGTCTTAATAACATTGTCTTCTCTCCTCAGCTTGGTGGCAATTCCTGTATATGTGAAGCATATGATCAGCTTTAAGGAGAACAGTTCTTCAGGAAGATTTGATGTTACCATTGGACCAAAACAGAATATGGGAAAAACAGTAGAAAGTGTTGTCATGACAGTTCACATGCCAAAAGCAGTACTTAACATGAACCTCACCGCTACGCAGGGCAGCTATACGTTTGATCCAGTTACTAAGGTAAGGCCTAATTTTGAATTTATTTACCTCAGGGGACATTAGAGCAAGTCCTACATATTGCAGAGTAGTAGAGCACTGTTCCACACATTGCAAGAATCTTTCCCTTCAGCGCGTTTATGAATTAAAATCTTCTCTTTAAGATTTACTTTTCCAGTCTTAGAGATGCACCAAGTGTGATTTCTGGTTATTTCTGGTATTCCTGCCCCTGCACCTACACTTCTGCAAATATTCTTCTTCAGTGTATGCAGCGGTGTTTTGCTGGTGCTTTCAGCTGTAGTGTATTCTCCAAGCTATGTTATTTAAAACATACTTAGCTGGACAAAATGCAGTAGAGCTGAAAACAAAGAGCCAGAAAAACAGGTGGCAGGAAATCAGGAAAACTGCTTCCACAGAACTGCCTGAAGACACACAGGAAGGGAAACAGAGCAGGGGAGTCCTGCTTTCTTGCTTCTCAGTTGAGGTTTGCGACTTGAATTTCCCAAAGCTTCCAAAGCTTTTTAGTCCCCAGGAAATATTTCACTGATATGTGTTGAGCGAAGCCTTTCTACTGGCTCTCACAGCCTGCTCTGAGCTTTCTGCTGCCCTTGAAATATCTCAGGCCGCATTTGATTTGAATTCTGTGCAAAAGCTCTCCAAGTAACATTTTATTTTAAAAAGAACAGACCCTGATCTTTTAAGAATGAAAACACCAACATAATCCTTAGGGCTACCAGGCTGATTGCTGTACCCAGCCTGCAAACAAAAAGCTTCATCTGGACTTGGCTTTATAGGTGGTATCCATAAAGGCTACTGCTACCGCTTTCTCTTTCCTGACAAGGTGTTAACGTGGGACGTTGGCAAAATTACCCCTCAAAAGCTACCGAATCTGAAGGGCATAGTGAACCTGCAGTCTGGAGCCCCCAAGCCAGAAGAAAATCCAAGTTTAAATATCCAGTTTAAGATCCAACAGCTCGCAATTTCAGGTAAGTGGGTGTTACAGGAAATCAATACTGATAGGTAATTAGCCGTAGCAAACAGTTAATCTTTGCATTGAAGATGCAGATCTGAAGTTAGTTGGGTTCTAACCCAGCAGTTAACCTTGCTGCCAGATGCTCTTGTTGGGAATTATGAATTGCCAGTTTTGCTCAAGAAAGGCTGTGAGAAATGTACAGAGGAACGGGCTTTTCTGTGTTGACTTGTGTGTTAAACAGAAGCCAACTACTACTTTTAGTGCAGAGGTGATTTAGTATGCTGCTCTTGACTTGCTATAGCCTTGTACCACTAAAGCCCTTTATAGTGTTCAAAAAAACTGTTGGTTTAAAAAAATGCCCTTTTTCTTTCTGGAGCTGGCTAGTTTTTCATCTTCAAACCAATCTGCAAGGAAAATCTTAATGAAATCTCTAGACTAATGACCAAAAATATATTTAAATGAAACAAAGCCTCAGCCTGCAAACACTTAAATACAAATTGTATAGCTGTAAAATGCTTCTGTAAGCAAGCTTTGCAGGACCAAGACCCTAACAGAGCAAAGCTTCACATTTGGATGGAAGGAGGATGTCTGAAACCAGTAGATGAGAATGGGCAGTAGTGCATGTAGTGTCTTTCTAGGTAGTTACCAGGTTATTCTGTTTCCTAGACTACTTTGAGTAAACAGGGGTTAGTCCTTGTATGAGAACAGAATTCCCCACCTTACTCTTAAATTTACAATCCACTAGCTTAAATATAGCAAACCAGTGGCTGGATGCCAAAGGCAGTAGACTTGTGGGAAAGCAGCAGCCAACCTGAAACTGTTAGGTAATTAATAGCTACTGCTGTTCCTTAATTACTAACAGAGGAATTACTGAAATTATAATTTCTTATATGAGAAGACTTCTAAAATTTGTCCTCTGCTTCACTGACATTATTGGGAACAAGAGGGCAGCATACATACGCATTAGAAGGTGCACTCATCTGTTCAATAGTTCATCCCTCATAAGGAGGATGTGACATCACTGACTAAAACAAAACAAAAAAATCCTTTCCCTCCCAGGGAAGCTATGATTAGGTGACAAGAATGGTCCCTTTTGCTGTTTTAAACTGCATGAACTTGTGAAAGGGGTAGGAACATAAACTAGCTTCCTAGCTGACCTTAACTTGTTTAAAGAAAACAGGACTGTTAAATAGAGAAAGGAGATCTCTAGTATTTCGCTTCTGACTTTATACTCTCATTTTTGTCTTTTTCAGGATTGAAAGTAAATCGCCTAGACATGTATGGAGAAAAATATAAGCCTTTTAAAGGTGTCAAATACATTACAAAAGCAGGAAAATTCCAGGTCAGGACATGAGAAGATGCTCTACTTCTAAGAGGAAATTCCCCTTAAAAAATGACTGCTTAGTGACTTATGTTGCTATTAATTAGGTGCCGATTAATTAATAGACACACTGATTAGTTTGGGAGCAAAGCATTTGTGCACAGCAGCTCTTAAAATGGAAGTGTAGCTTAGTTTTTCTTATTATGGCTTTAAAATAAGGTACCTTTTTTTCTAATACACCTTTACTTTTTTTTTTCTTTTTTTTTTTAAACTGAATTGTTGTGCTGGTGAATCATTTGGTATAGGTGATCCACAAAATGTTGTAAACATACACTGCCAGATACCAAAGCCCAGAGGCCAAGCACATTATGAAGGCCAGACAGGCCCTTGGAAAAGTCTTGTAGAGGCACATTTTGCTGCTGTAGCTGCCTGCAAAGAAAGCTCAGCTGTTCTTACAGCCAGCTGCAAGTTGGCATTCCACAAAGCATCATGTAATCCCTTCAGAAATAGAGCAGCCGGGCAGGGGTCCCAGAAGGGCCTGGGACATAGCAAATGTCACTCCTGGGAAAGACCTTCTAATGAAGAAAAAATATTTTCCTTGCTGTTTACAAGAAATCGCCTTTCCTGAGAAGCGTTTGCCTTAATCAGCTTTCATTTGTGCCATCTGCAGATGAGCTGATAAAAATAACATTCTGCATTAATATGGGAGGTGATTGTTGCTTCAGTAATCTACTTTCTTTCCATTCAATCTCATCATTGTCATTTTTTTTAAGAATACAGTTGCAGAGAGTACGATCTATTTTTTATGTGAAGCCTTTGCTTTGGTTTAGATGTTCCACTTGTTTGAAGTGGATGCCACCAGATTTGTGCCATGTGTATATTGGAGTGTAGCTTTTTAGATAGCACAATAGAAGTGTCAAGTGTATTTAATGGTTGTGTGCTTTAATGTTATGAAATAAAGGGAACTCTACTGCAAACACATTTTCTCGTGTGAAGTATTCACTATTGTAAACTATTCAAAATGCTCTTTAGATAAGAGACATCCAATATACAATTAAATAAGTAATTGCTACCTCTTCACTGAACTTAATTGCTATGCAGGTATTCAAAGTTTAGGAAGAGCATTCATGAGCATGGCAAGTAAGCTTGTTTTTTTGTGTTTTTTTTGAATGTGGGATAACTGAAATGTCACAATTTAAGCATTAAGGACAGAGCAATGATGATGCAAAGCAGACAAAACAACTTCTTACACACCAGCATAAGCTTGCTGTATCTATAAACCAGTATATGCCCTAACTTTCCTGCCAGGGTTCAAACCATACATTTGGGCAGTACATAACAGGCTGATAAACCCAAGTTTCAGAATTAAGGAAGAGTGGGATACTGGAGAATCTTTATTTCCTTAATTAATTTGGATTACAAATGCATAAACATGTGCCAACTTGGCTTCAGATGAATAATGGGAACTAAAGTAATACAGTAGCCAAAATTTCAAATTTTGAGACAAATTAAAAAAAATGAGGGGGAGCTCATCTCAAATACTGGCTGGCAGCAAGCCTGTAGGAAGAGGAACTCGCACATTTTCTATTAGAAACTTCGGCAATATCAAACTTGACCACAGCCGATCTATTTTGAATTTCTGAAATTACAGAAGATTACTGTAGCTACAAGATACTGCTTTTACAAAATAGCACCTCTAAGAAAACCTCACATTTGTATAAGCATGTCACTTGGCTGTTAAAAGCCACCAGCTTTCTCACCTACCTTTTTCAGTGGGTGGAACTTGTATCAGTTTGTAGCTTATCCTACAGATCTGCTCCACTTTACAGTAAACCGCATCCTCAGGTTAAAGCAATTTTACTAAAAAAACTTGTTTTCAGATCTAACTGCTAGGTCCCAAGCTTAAGTCTGCATAGCTAGAACTGCTCTCTGCATTAGCAGCCTGAAAATGCTGCAAGATCTCTCAGCACTGACGCCATTACTGACAGATACATAATGCAGTATCAGAAAGGGGGCTAGCTTCAACACCAACACTTCATCAGCATATTGCAGAACCAGCTTCACCAGCCTTGTGTCACTCAACCACCAGGGGAGGATACACAAAGCTGCTGTCTCTGGAAGAGCTTCAATCCGCACTTCACTGTCCCTCACTAGAAGTCACCATCAACAGTTACACTTACCTGGAACAAAAGGCACCCTGAACACAAACACGGTTTTCCTCAGGGGGAATTGGTTTTCGTTGTGTGAGGCTAATGCCTTTTGCTGTGGGCATGCTGACTCCTGCCGTTTCCCCAGACACAGGAATGTCAGCTGCACAGTTTGCAGTAGCAGGGACTGGGTTCACACTCTCCCCACTAACAAACTGTACCAACACCTGTATGAATAGCACGGCTTAAGGAACAGAAGGATGTCATTACTGTGGATTTCTTAGTCAGCTTTTGATATCCTGTGCTGACAAAGGTGACTGTCTCAGAAGTTGTCATCCTCCTTCAGCTACAGAGAGAACTTTGTTAACAGCATGAAATCTGTAATTTATCTAGTATTACTAAATCCTAGGTGCCTTCTGCCACTGTTGGACTATGTTCAGTCCCACATCACCAAGAAATGTTGGTCCTGTGAGGTTAGTGTTAATGTATGAATGCTGACAGAATTTTTTAAAACAGAAGCTTTATATGAATTGTAGCAAGAGGTTCTGTGACAGAAACGGAACAGTAATTCCACGCAATTGCCTTTGCATTCAAGTTTGCCAAGTAAAATTCAGATTTGATGAAGTGTTAGCCAGAACCACAGTTCTTCCTTTACTGACAGGATCAGGCAAATCCCATTTCAAGTTTTCAGAACCTTGGTTGGTGCTTCTAGAACAGATGACCCATCAGGCCTCTGGAACAATTCCCATTCTCTCCCACTGGTTCTTTTGACTGTTAGTTTTACTGGCAGTGAAGACAAAAACAACTGCTTTTAATCCTCTTTTCTGTTTCAGCAACTCCACATTTTCTGTTCAAAAAACATCATTTAGCTTTAGCATTTCTGCTCTGTAAGAGCTGTTTGCCCTTTTTACAGTATTATCACTGTTCAGTTAATATTGACAAGCTGACATTTTGTACAAATGCAGTTTTATTGTTTTAACAGAACCAAAGAAAAAGGTTGAAAACGTTAGACTATACAACACATTTTGGTTTATAAACAAAGTTTTATAGTGGTAAAACATTTCTAAATGACATTCATGGTCTTTTTTAAAATTTCTGCTGCATTTCAGGTCTGAAGACCAATAGTGTTCAAAAAAGCAGTAATTGCATAAGGTGAACGAGTATCTCAGCTTCTACAAAACAATTTAAGAACTTACAGCAAACATTCTGGAAGAATATCAAAGGCAACCATGATTTATAACTTTCCTGCAAACATTACTCAAACAAAAAGTGATCTTTGGCATAAACAATTATGTATTAAAGGCATTAGTAATATTGCATTAATATCAGTCAAGCAACTAAACAGTGATACTAAAGAGAAAAAAAATATCTCACAGAGAAGCTTGAAAGAGGGTTTGGGGGGGCAGAGAGGGGTGGGAGTGTGAGGAGTATTGAAATGCAGGAAGACTATTTAGAAAATCCCTTAAAAATAACCCCTACCTATTCAGTGTTATTTACTATTAAATAGAAATTACGACATTACAATTACGTTAGAGATCTGGTATAAACCAACCAAACGCAAGACATTCAGGTTAAGGCTCTGGCACTCCTTCCTTACTCCTCCTGTTCCAGGTAATCACAGGAAGAGAATACTAAGGAAAGATCCTAAGTACCATGTGTTTCATAATACCCAGACACCAGGAGAGTGAGTTGAAGATGAAGACACACTTTTTCTTGCAAAGGTCAGTTAGTTTGAGGCAGATGTATTATAATCACTTTAACTTCCCTTTTTAGATAACAGTGCAATGAAGGGGCAGGGGGAGAAAGTCCAAGTGTCACAGACAGGCAAAGAACAGCTGAGTGTTCTCTCTCTTTTCCTTCAAGCAGGGGAAAAAAAATCAGTCTAACAAGGGCACTATAGTAAAGGTCATTCAACATCTTTCAGCAAGTGAAAATGAAGAGGACATCATGAGGTCCAAGCTGATTTGGGCACAAGTTTGTGAATGCTCCTTGCAAATGTATGGAGACCCGTTCTAAAACTGTAATTCCTCCCTATCTGTCAAATGCCGAAAGACACAATGGAGCAAATAAACATAACTATATGTAGGAAGGCATGTTACATAATGGAAGGATAAAAACTTTTGAAGCCTCTTTTATCAACAGTGTGTTTTGTTTTTTAAAATTACTAAGACTTCAAAAACTTTTGAATTTCCAAACTCCAAGTATATTGTACTCAGATATTTTTACTCATTTCATTTAGCATTAGGAACCACTCTTTGCTGGAAGCCATCTTGCTACCTAAGGAGTTTCACATCCCTGCACTGCAGTGCCTGGGTTTCCAAAAGCTTACACACTACTACTGCATTGCTGGAAACATGCAGTTGGCAAAAGGTCTTTTGAATTTAATATTCTTAATCTTCTAATTTCCATCTTGAGTGGATGCAACAGCATTAGATGGAAAATAATAATAACTGCATGTGCTTGTGCACATTAGGTATTTTCAAGGAGAGAGCTAGCACATGACACTTTCTGGACTTGGGCATGTAGCTAGTTTAAGAGAACCAGATTTTTTCAGCCCAGTACATCGTTAGACTGAGCAATAAGGAGAGCTGCATGAATTAAGGACTCCAGCAGTAAGGCTCAGGCTGACAACCGTGTGCTATCAACATCCACCTAGAAGCATTTCAGTATAGCACAAGTACTGAAATGCATACCTACACGGTGACAGGAGGGTGACAGACAGCTCCAGTTTTCACTAAAGTACTGTTGCCAAGCAAAAATCAACAGGAAAATAAAAAATAAAAATTAAAAACATAATTTCAGATGTGAGATTTCAATCCTCATCTTACAATGGCTTTCCCCTTCCCACCCCTTTTTCTTTTTTAAAAAAATCCAAACCTTCCACCACTTCTGAATGGTTTAAGAACAACCAGTTACATTCCTGTTGAAGAGGTGAATTTTTACATAGCCTTGATTGTCCCTAAATCACTGCCTAATAATGCTGTTAGTGTCCCAGACTCCCAACACAAGCTTAAAGTGAGGTGCACGTATTATACCATCACATGGAAACTACTGGAATATGCAGTGCATAAATGAAATGTGCTTCTGGGATTACAGATTTCAAGAGAATCTTCATAAGCAAAAAAAAAAAAAAAAAAAAGATAAGAACTGTCTACTATCAGAAACGACTTCGAGGTGTTTGATATCAAATGGGTTCTGAAGATATTTGAAATGCATTCTCTTATAATTCATACCCTTAGAATGGGGCATTAGCATAAGCTAATTTTAAGCTTATGTATACAGCACCTTTTGCTGTTAATAAATCTTCCGTTTCCAAAAAAAGGCATTTTAAGTTACAGAAGACAATACTTATGTGGCTAGTGTCTACTGATACCACGGAGTCTTTCTGACCCAGCGAAGAGTGAATCCAGCATCTGTTCTTATTTTAATGGATGCTGCTTCAGCTTCTCTCACAGTTTCCTTTACAGACTGCATGAGGTTCTGGGCATTATGAACCAACATCTCAGTTGCCTGTCAAAAAAAAAGAAAAAAAACTTCTAATGTACGTTGAAATACCACATTCAGAACCGTGCACAACAACTCTCCCAATACAAGCATGTTCAAGTCAGTCTCTGAAAAGTAAACAAAAACCAATGAAGTTTCTGTTCGCTCACAGCACCACTTTCCTGTTTTTCACAGTACAGTTATTAAAAGCTCAATGCTTCAGACCTGAATAATCTCTCAGAAGCCAAAAGACTGCAGGATTTCAACTGAAAACATGCATTTGGAAGCCAGCAGAACTGTAAGATACTCAACATAATGTTGGAGAACAACTATTTTCACTGCAATCCACCAGAGGGTGCTACTACTCCTTCGGCATTAAGCCTGCCCTATTTTTAGAAGTTCTTTTGCTAGCTCACTTCTGGCTGTTAAATTAAAGGAGGTAAGTTGTTCATATAAAAATTTGAACCAGAGTAACTTTTTGGCTTGGCAAGGACAGACGTTATTCTATTAAACTGTAGCTTTTGAAACAGCAACCAAGGTGTAAAGTTATACTTAATAAATAGCTAAGGTATCTTCCAATCATTGAGTTCCTGGAACACATCCAATCATATCTTATCATATCTTTCTACCCATGAAACTGACCAACAGTTCCACCCTACCACTGATTTTTACACCTCTTACCTGTTCTGATTCTTCATCACTGATATTAGTCCTGCCCAGCATGGTAGCTTTGACAGTGGAAAGAATTTTGAGTTGTGTACTGATGGTTGGGATTCGCTCACAGACCTAAAGAATAAGTATAAAAAATGCTTCACGTTACAAATCAAACTGATACACTTTCTCTGTTTTCAGATTAATTCTTTGGTTTTGTTTTACTGTTAGAAGAAAAGAATAAGCACAAAGGAGACCTTGTAATCTTCAGGACTTTAACAAAAATTGGTAAAACAACAGAACATCTTATTTTAGGTGCTTTGGGAATTTTGGGGATGGAACATGCATTCTCCCGTTGTCCATATATTCCTCAAGGGTTTCACTCAGACTTAGGCATGGAAAGATGTGATTTGGATGAGAGAAAAAAGTACTGAGCGTTAAAATTCTGCTAATATTCTTTGATATAAGAGGAATGAGTAAATGAAATACAAAGCAACGTTGATAGACATAGGACAGACCAATGCTCATAGCACAGTATTTCTCACGACCTCTTAGGCACTGGCACCTTCTACATATGTGTATACAAATCCTGACTTGACACAATATGTACTACCATGGGATCTAAAAACAGACTTGGAACTTGACAAAACTTTATAATCTAAGGAGAGATAACACGTGCTTTGCTTCAACAGCTCCTGTTCATACTAAGAAAGAACAAAGTATTTTCAAGGCTTTTACATGTTAGCTCATTACCTGCAAGAGGTTCGTTCTAATGCGTTTGTCGGTGCATTGCTTGGCCACCTCTTTGGCCAGTCGAGTGACTTCATCTGAGGCCTTAGCGATATCCTTCGCACACTGAATAAGGGCACGCTTGTTTCCACTACCTCCTCTCACCAGGCGTGACATCTCTGCCATGAGCAGCGCCATTCGTTTAGCAGCAGCAATGATGTCATTACCCTGAAGAGAACAACATCAGTGAGTGTTTGTGCCTGCAAGAAAGCTTCCCAGAAGTCACATCTGAACAGCAGTATACATTTTGGCAGCAACCCTTTCAACAAGTCAAGGATTGAAGAACCATTTGTGAACACAGAAGAGGTTTCTTCGAGGAACAGGGAAGATCTGCACTAATTATACACTCATGACATACTTTTCTTTCTAATGCTCGGTAAAAAAAGCTTGCTACAAAACTGGAAAAAAGAAGCGATAAAGAAAAGTGTTAGTTTGTCCATGGAATAGGAGTTACTGCTTTGCTGGCTATGTTTTAAAATAAAGCATGTTTGTTTGGTTTTTAAGTATGCTAAATAGCTTGTTAAACCAAATAGCACTAATTCAGTTAAATAGTGTAGTCATAACAGTTGAGCATAAGGTTTTCAGTGGTATCTGAAACTGAAGTGTTAAAGAATATTCTGTGCTGCTACCTCGCTATGTTGCTGAAGGATAAATGGAAGATAATCTGTAACATACAAAGGTTTGTCACAGGTAATGTGGAAATGAGATGCAATGTTGTTGGTTTTGGTTGTTGGGTTTTACTGGGGGGAGAAGGGAGTGAAGTTTTTTCTTGGTAACACTTCTTCCTTTTTGACAAATTCTCTCCCTTTAAAATAAAGGCTCTAGGAGGAGAGAAGAATTTGAAGTTAAAAAGATAAGCTAGAAATATCATTAAGATTCAAATTTCTTTCATTAAATACATCAAATTCCATCACATAAGTACTTGAGAAATATTTGCAATATGTGAATTAATATGACCAAAGGAAAAATATTTCTCATACACTGTTCCAGAGAGAAACCTAAATGCAAGAAAAAAAGCAGACCAAGATGATCAATTGTTAATAATCTGTTAGTATATTTAGATTCACCTTCATAAGAAGTTGTTAGAAAAATGTGAAATATTTAGTGCCATGAAGCATTCCTGTTGTGTGGATGAAATATTAGCATGTGAGTTTATTTATTAGCACACTCGTTCTTCAGTATAATTCCACAATTAATGACCAATGAAGTCCAGAGCAAGAAGTACACAGTGAGAACCCAACTGACCAAATGTATTCTGTCCCTTTGCACATAGTTCCATGACGCACTACTAGCCATGAAGGTATCCCAAACATTTAATTAAATATTGCACAGACACAGGCGACACAGAAAGCTGAACTATTCGTTACCGTGACCTAATATCTAAACTGTTTGCTAGTATAACCAGTTAGGATGCAAGTGACATAACACAAAGCTTTTCCATGTTTTCACGCAGGATGATCAAGAAATTAGGACCAGTGTCATTTACGTAGCCCTCAAACAAGTTATCCAAGCATCAGAATCTGAAAACGACAAGAACATTTTAAAGCCCTTTTTATTAAAAATAGTTTAGTATATCTCTACATACATACATATATGTATAAATACACACACGTGTCCCTAACCTTTGTTTGTTATATAACACCAACCTTACTTTTTGCAGCATGCTATAAAAAGTGACCAGTCTTGCAAACATTTGTGCTTAGACAGAAGAGACAGGCTACTTGTGAACATCTGAACCCCATGTTAGATTTCCACTGTTTTTACACAAACACTATCTCAATTCAGCAGATAACAGCATTCAGTGCAGCTTCTTCATAAAAGAATTCTCTCAAAACCAGCATTTGCAATACAGCCAAGTGCAAGCCAGCAGTCAGTCAGTCCTCTTCAATAAACACTGCCATACAAAGCCATTCCTTGTTCCAAGGTATTTTAATTGATGGCATCAATGGAGGCAAAGCACAATAGACATGTTAAATGACTTCTTGAATACTGTATACTCTGTTGTATCTGGAAGTCATTAAGAAACCATTAACCATGGCTTCCCAGGTAGCCCAAATTAATGAAAAAAGAAAAGGGGGGAGGGAAGACAACCGCTGTTTACAATCTGAAAACTGCCACAACAAAGAGAACAGGCAGATGCAAAGAGAGAGGAAGCCTTTGAATATTAATAAGTGACCCATATCAAGCTTCAATCTGGCACTGACAGACAGATCTAGCAAACTTGTGAAGCCACTCTCAGTCCTTAAGATGAAGTGCAGGCACGTTTATTCATTCAGAATGATGGGACCCAGCAGGGATCAAGAGTGATGCAAATGTGTCAGCGTTCCAAATGGCTGGATGCACACAGATCAGTCCCCGGGGGAGACTCAGGAGTACCTTACTAGACCACTTGGTTGCTTCCCGATGTAGAGACTGAGCAGCAGCCAGAATGGGTTGGTTAACAGGCTGATTGGTTGGCATTAACAGCAGCTCAGGCTCGTAATCATCTTCAATGTCAGAGGGGAGAGTGAATTCAACATCTGCATCATCCTCCTCATCTATATCTACACCAGCCTCAGCCGCTTCATTAACCACAGTCACAGGCTTTGCAGGTGGCAGCAAAGGTGGAGAAACGGGACAGTTAGTACAAGAAGCAGAATTTGGTAGAAGAGCATGAACTGAGCTGTTTTAGTGACCAAAACATCCTCTTAGACTCTCGAGATCCGACAGGACAGCTCTAGGATCATGTAAGAGGGAGGAGGGGAAGGAATACAGGATTAGCAGAAGGAAACAAACATTTCACCTGTGAACCAAAGTTACCAAAACAATTAAGAAGTTCCAATTCAAAGACACGGCGACATTTTTCAACTCAGCATACAGCTTCTACACGCAGAGGCTGATTTTCAGAACAACATTTTTCTGGCAAGACAATGGTGAAATGAATGGATTTTCTGTTTTAATTAAAGCCATTTTCACTGGCTTGAAGCAGGCACAGCAGCTGATGACTGTGGTATTTGTGCAAACACAAAGCATGTATGAAAGCCTTTTCACGTATATGTAAGAAGAGATAGCAGCAGGGCCACAGAAAAACCACTGACACTGTTTGCTGTCAAGAAAAAAAGGGTGATGGTGGCAGGGAAGATATTGTAGAAATGGGTACTGAAGTACTGCAGATAATGCGAAAAAGAACAAAACCAGGTTATGAAAAAAGGAGGTGATACTGAATGTTATGAATGACATGAATATTACAGTTCTTTAAAAAGACTGAAACAGAATTAGTAAAGAAAGAGGATTATGAAGCATATTATACTGTTTTGCCACAATATGTTGTATCCATTACCTTGGAAAAAAAGATTCAAGCAAATAAAAGGAGATCACAAAGATGAGGTAAAAGTCCTATAATAGTACAGTCATTCATAATATAATAGCATTTCAATAAAAAAAGATATCATACAAATTTACTAACTGCATTTCTTTGATGAATGCTACATGTCAAGCAACCCTTAGCAAAAACTACGCATTTGCAACTGAATTTTGCTTAAGATCTGATCTTTTAATAGAAAAACATCTATGTCAGTGAAAAAATGCAGTTTTTGGAAGAACAAGTTCTAGCATTTATATATTGACAAATCAACCCATCTTTGAAGACTTAAATCTAAGCATTAATTCAGTGAAAAGTTTCCAGTATCCCTCGTTTTGATGCTAGTTTTGACACAGGAGCCTAACTAAACAAATAAAACTTCATTCTCTCCTTTATTCAATTGAGGGGGAAAGGCAAGGAAATCTAAAGCAATAGGTGTTTGTTTTGTGCTCTGTGAGAAAAGGAATACACGGAAGCCCAGAATCTACCCAGTGAAAAGGAGTTTTTGTTAAAGAAAAAAAGTAATGAACTTTAAATCTTACAGGAATGGAGAATGTTATCAAATGCTTTTAGAGATTACTTACTTGCCCCCCTATAAACGTAATACATAGGAAAATATCAGTGGGCTAATATAAATGGCTAAAAAAGCAGAAGGCAGTTGACACAGCCTGTTGCCATTTAGTATAAGCAAGACCTTGTGTTTCTGTCTTTCCAGATCTAACCCATATTCCTCAGTAACAGTGTCCATCAATCCCTCTTCCACCCAATAAGGAAGTGGCTTCAACTACAAAAATATTTTTGAAGTTCTATTTTTCTGCCCTTTATGATTGTCTGCAAAAATATTTTAAAACTTGGATTGCATGTGCAAAATTGTTCTTGACAAAGTGTCCTGACCACCACCTTCTTCCCCAAAATATATTAGCAAAGCAACTGTACCTTTATTGGTAAAATGGAACTGCTAACAAGAATTTAAAGAACAAATGTTACACTGGTTTGTTGGTCTCAACTTATGGTAACAGCAATAAAATTAGTGTTTCATAAACAAAAAACAATAAGCTTGGGGCTCTTTTATAATTAGGAGGAAGTTTTAAGGTCTGCTGCCTTGTTTTGATACATAAATATTTTAATAGATGCATTATTTTAATTATACTCTAGTGTGTCTATACATGTAATTTAGTACATATATAGTAAACACTTTTTTTTTTTTTAAACCTACTGTGTATTGTTAGGTTACTCATTTGGGGATTCAAACATCAAAACACTTAGGAAGCTGAAATTAAGATTTTCAGCCTCAAGATTACCTTCTGAGAAGATATGCTCCAGTCTTATCCCTTAAATAAAATAAAAACATATGTGGTATATCCAGAAGTATGAGTGAAATAAAAGCATTTCATTTAAAGGAAGGGACACAGATTTGTAGTATTTCTTTTGTACTTTATTTATACTTCCAAAACAGATGTGCCTTATGCACACCAAGTTGTTGGAGTTGATTCAGTAATCTATTAAAGTTTATCCTCTCGTTACTATGCATTGGAGTGGAAGAAAAAAAGTGAAGATTTTAAAAGCCAAATTCTGGCCTTCAATTAATACCTGCAGAAGGCAGGTATGACATGCTTCATCATGGCAATGAAATATTAAAAAAAAACAAGAAGGATTTTGGCCTTGATAGTGACTCTACAAAAAAGGAAGCAGACCAGGTTATCTATATACAGTCACTTTTCTGATCAGAAGAGCACCAGATAAACTGCAAAGTAACTTGCAGCTCCTTCCAGAACACAAACCAGTTCATGATTCTCGCAGCTGATGTCTGCAACATTCATGCAGACATCCCAAAGTCAGCTAATAAAACCATCAGCTTGTCAACATAGAAAGGCACTAAGTATTGCCTACAGAGGCACTATTGCATCATCAACGATCACAAAGAGCACACATTTGTGTTTGCAGAGGTACGATGATAAAGCATTCTAGCACTTCTGAGTACTAGAACAGTTGTACCTAGCTCACTTTGAAGATGAAAAGGTTCCTAATTCTTTTACTGCAGTGTTTTTACTATTTAGCCTATATAAGTCTATTCTCCACATTGAGGCAACTGATACTGGACCAAACTAACACACTGATTCTGAAGAAATTTTCTTTGCAACACAGGACAAATCTGTAACAACTTCTTACCTTGCTAGACCATTTTCGTGCTTCATCATGCAACTGCCTAGCAGCCATCATCATGGGCTGATTAATAGCTTCTCCTGCTTTCTGCTCTGGGAATTCTTCATCCTTTTCTTCAGGTGGTGGTGGTCTGGGTGGGGGAACCTCACCTTCTGGAAGTGGTGGTTTTGGAGGAGCAAGCTCATCAGTCAGCTAAGAAAGGTAAAAACCTTATTCAGTACAATGAAATAGTACAAAGATCGAGTATCATGACACTGACATGGCAAGACATGATCGCATGAGCTCATGCGTTCTTCCAGAGTTCTTCCAGCTTTTCAAGTGCTCCCTTTTTTAGGAAATACCACGTTTTATTCTCTTCTTTTGAACGCTGGATTATTTATTTATTAAGACATCAGGCTGCTTGTATACATGTCTGGCCAGACAATGAGTTTTCTGTCTAAGGAATAAAAATTTAGTCAAAAAATTTCAGTGTGCAGTCCACACTTCATCAGTGGCAACTGAGTACTGTATTACAAAATCTGCTGCACTTACATGAAGCTGCTCAAGGTCAGGAGGAGGAGGGGGAAAATCTGGTTCCTGAGGCTGAAAAGCTTCTCTGACTTTGGCCACAGCTCCAAGAATTCTGTATCCAGAATCCAAAAAACTCTTCTGCAAACCTGAACAAAAATTCCAGTCCCAGATTAATAGCATTCTGTAATATTTAGAATTGCAATACTATCAAAAAAAAACACAAAAAATATTTTGGTAAGGTACCGCAGAGAGTGCACATATTTCTATAAAATAATTTTTAAAAACCACCACAATGTTTATACTTGATTTCCATGTTTAAAATGTTAGTATCATATACAACATGCATAAAATAAAATTTATGCTGAGTAATGGTCACTGTCAATAGCCAAAGTAATTTCCCAAAACAACTTTTAGAACAGAAGACATTACGTACTATTTTCCTTACAGAGGTACTACTACTGATAAAAGTAACAAATACTTGTTTCTGATAAAGATCATGACATCATGCAATGAACTAGAATGATGAATCCTTTTCCTTGAACATGACAGAGGTTTTAGCAGTTAATGGTGTGACCTTGATCTTACCATTATGGGATTTAAGCATACACAAAATTTCCATAAATGGGGATACACAGCGGTACAAGAGAAAATGAGCACTATATCACACAGCATTCCACCAATAAAAGATACTTTTCAAATCAGCTGACCAAATCCTTACCAGGATCAGAAATGTTTCCTGCCACAGCTTTAGCATCCATTACCATCGGTGATATAGTTTTGCTTAGCTCATCAGAGGCTGCTTTAACAGCCTCCCGGAATTTAGGGTCTTCTGAATTTTCAACCTCTCGTTTTGCCACCAATAGGATGCGGTTTGCTCGTCTAGCAATGCTGGTGGCGCCAGCTACCAGCATCTGTGGTTGCATATTGGCCATTGCAACTTTACACTTGTCAAGATCTTTCTTAATAGCCTCTTCTGATGCATCCAACAGAGACTTGGTATCAATGGCTTCATCCACCAACCCTAGGATAAAAGTTTAACAACATTAATATTCTAATTTCAACTCTGGAAAGGGCTATTACATATTTCTGAGACTGTTTCCAACCAGAAAAGCAACTATTTCCAAACTTGAAGAGTAGGGAGGAGTGGAAGAAGGCATGAAAATCAGACCACATGTATTACTGACACTATGGAACTACGGTCAGTCTTGCTCCCATTAACAACATCCCAAATTCTTACTCATCTAACGTGGAATGTTGCTTGAATGAAAAATTGACTTACACAGTATACACAGCAGAATTTCATTCCTTGCAAATTTCTTTATCTATATTCAGCAATTTTGTAGCCCTCCCATTCATGCAAAATGAAAGATTCCTCTTGGTTGTGCTTTAACTTAAGGGTGATGTATAGTGATAAAGCAGTGAGATTTAAAATTCCCACAAGTTAATTATGGAGATGGAGAGGGACACAGTATACAGCCCGGATAAAGTATTTTGTTAGCAGCCCAATACAGATTGAAACATTTCTTCAGGACTGAAACTTTTAAGTGTTTCAGAAAGAGTCAGTACATCTGTAGTTTTGTTTTATGAACTCCATTCATGAAGCTCTTACATCACTTTGAACATGTTTTCTTGCCCCCAATTAATTATATGTCCTCATTCAACATGCCAAGATTATGTAAAAAGAAAAGCCTCAAGCTGCTACAGTGATACACTGCTAGCACAACAAGTACAAAACTAAAGGTATTTTGTTCTTCCCAGGGAGGAATTAAAGCCCAATTTGCTTCCTCCACCAGTCAAAACCAAGTCCTATGAAGCAAGTTATTTTGTTTATGCTAACATGAACACATTTCTGGAGTCACAGAGCACACTCCCATTTCTCTTAAACAATATTTTTTAATTCAGTTATTACTTCTGTACATGTCTCTTCAATCCAAATAGAATGGATAAAGAAATCCATACAGGGTAAATAAGCACAAATATAATCTTCAACAAAAAAATCCTACTTTACCTGTCATTTTTTCTACATTATCAATCCATTGGTTTTTCATTGTCTCAAAATGTTCATAAGCAGCTTGGTTTCCAGGATTTCTCAAAAGAATTCGAGCAGCTGATACTACCTATGAATGAAAAAAGTTTTTAATTAAGTAACAATAATTTTTAATTATTACATTTTTAATTATTAAGTAACAATATATAAAAACATTGTATGTGTTTCTGAAAATGCATTTGCTTCTCCATGCTAGATGTGAAGCTCCTCACTTTTAATACTCCTCGCTTTTAATACTCCATTAATTCTAGTTCAATTTCTGTTCAATTTCTAGTTCTGTTTCAAGATTTACAATGCCTCTAGTATTTGTTGATACAAATATTTATTCTAACTTCATTTACTTGCTTTCGCATCAGAAAGTGTTTTATCATTTACTAATGGTTCTTGAAAGCACTAATGTACAATACTTTTGACATTCTCACTAGTTCTAGATAGAAGTTTAATCTGGAAAAAAATCATTGAAGAAGCATTTTCTCTACTCTATTAAGCCTCCAAGTAACCGTTTCAAGGATAAGTTACTGGTGCTTCTCTCCAAAAGCTGAAGAGTAAGACACATCATTTAATTACCTTGTCCTACCCTTTGGGATATACATGAATATTTGCTATTTCTCTTCTCAGAATGTCGGTGCTACATTCCTTACTGCTATTAACATCTTATTCTGATAAGCACAAACAAATGGAAAATTCCACAGAAATCCTTCCCAACCCTTACATGTATAATAGCATTTTGAGACTAAGAAAGCAAACCTGTGGGGTAAGTTCCCTTGCTGATTTCACTGTTGCCTGAATGCCTTCCACAGTGGTTTTATTAGCAGTTCCAACTGCAGCTGCTTTTTCTGCTGTTGCTCCCAGTCTAGCAGCATGGTTTTCAAAATTTGCTGCTCTTTCATCAAACACCTATTTGTCAGAAGAGAAAAATATATTTAAAAACCTTTACTTCCCACACAGAACAAAAACTTTCTCCAAGTGTCACATACCAGAGACACCTTCCTAACAACTAAACTTAACACGTCTCCTGACATGATGCAACAAGACACAAGGAGTCTGAAACGGTTTCATTTTTATCTTTGTACATTTGTGGACTTTCTTCTCTACTAACTCATTTGGTCTACAAATGATACTATCACACTTCATAGCTTTGAGATATAAAGTACATTAATTCCCAACCACTGTTCTAGCAACTGAGTTGAAACCATTTTAGCTTACAGAGATAAATCCTCAAACTCAGAATCCAGAAGTGACTGCATTTGGAAGAAAAATATGGGCTTTACTCTAAAAATCGAGGCTTCACATTGGAAAAAATTATATATATGCATTCTTCTACCATTCTTATTTACACAAGGACAGAATACGTTGATAAAATCTACACTGCTGTAAAGTTAAATTTACCAAGGCCTTGGTAATTATTTTGATCATATTCAAATCAACCAGCCAAACAGAGCTTGCAAGCCGAGAGTTTTAGATACTTCAAGGCCAGTAGCACTGAATTAAGGGAAGCATTATACAGCAAGGGAACGGGTTAAGTGTGCTGATTAATCTTGACATGAATTAGACAACTTTAGTCATCTTATATAAATGTCGAGATATGCAATCCACTAACTGTTGTCAGTGATTTGGCACTAGAATTATCAGCATGCTGAAGATAATGTGGTATGATCATCACAGAGAACAGTCTTTAGCATTTACTGAAGTCAGGGATGACACAGTTTCCAGGGATATATAGCACAATCCTCAGACCCCAAGAGACCAGGAAAACTTTCATGGCAATCATCTTGCAGTCAGAATTAATAAGCATGTATTACAATCTTGTGAAAAAAAATACTGATTCATTGTTCAGAATACTTATTCAAAATACCAGTTCATTTCTCAAAATAGTGATTCTTCTAAAACTGAACAATAATTGAAGCTTCACAGGAAAAAACACTCTTTCATATACTTGCCTCTTCTCTATTGGGAGTATCAGAAGGAGCAGTGGCTGCTACTGCCAACAACTTAATAGGAGTTGTAGTGTCACTAAAAACATCAGAAACCTCCTGGGTCATTGCTTCTTGCATCCGTGCCTTAAGATCCTTCAAAAAACAGAAAGTATAAACTCATGATACAGAACCATTAAGTTCACAGGGCTTTAAATCTCAGAAAACCTCTTATTAACAAAGAAAAAAGAAAAAAAAAAACGTTACATTAGAAGCTATAAAGATAAAACAATCTCATAAGCATGTTCAGTAAATCATTTTTTCATCATTTGAAATGCAAGAAGCTCACATGCCACTCATTGTAGCAGGATCAGAAGTTATGAATGGCATAATGAGACCTTGACACTCAAATTTGCAATGCTAACATGCTATCTTCATTGAAAGTAAGACTTCTCTTTATTTTTACTTCTAAATTGCTCATTTAGAATTAATCCCTGAAGCATGATATCAAGGTGTTTTGTAGAAAGCTTGCTTTAAACGTCTCAGATAAACCACCACTTGTTTTGCTGCATTTTTTTGTTCCTCTGTTTATTGGTGCCTCCAACATAGAAGCCCATTATCAAGGCAGTACAAACTCTTCCATGTATTATCATGTGCTTCAGTGTCCAATAAAAGATTTTTACCTTCAGCGAGTCCTGAAGCTGAGCAGCAATTGCCCTAGCCTGAGGAGACTCTCCCTCCCCTCTCGCTGCGAGGTCAGCAAGTTGAGCAGCCAGCTGGTCTACACGGTCACATTTGGCAAGCAGGTCTTGACGATAAGGTCCCATCATGACATTGGCTAAACGACGACCTTCTGCGACCAGACCCCGAATTGCTGCCTGGCCTACAATGGAAGAAGTCATGTTACATTAACATACAGGACAACTAAAACTTGAAAGTGTAATTCAAACATCCCATGAACTAAATGACATTCCAGAATATCTGTTTTTTTAACAACACGTTTCTGGGTGGTGAGAAGGATCTTCTGCAGTTTCTCAGCAATGGCACTTCAAACCCAAACAGGAATTCACCCCTCACCAATATTTTTTTTTGCCTATTACAGCACTTCAGGCCTAAAAATGCATCCTTTTTTTTAGGTAGGGCAGCCTCAAGTTAACCATTATAGCTGTCAGATATCCCTACAGAACTGATCTGTTGACTCTAATAGAAATTGCTTGCAAACTCCTAGTACTGCAATTCTTCTCCATGTCACTTCAAGTCATAACAAGCTGAGCAGGAAGAGGGGAAAAATTCATGTACAAAACATAAATTTTAAAACAGAATACCCTCTTCAGAGGTTCCAGAAATCATGGGTAAAGGAATGTCCAGTGTCCAGGACTGGAAAAAAAATAAAAACGTAAAAAGCCTCCACAGCATGTTCAAGTTCTTCCTGTCAAAAAAGTCATTTTTAGTACAGCAACGTCCTTAACTCTCTCACAGAAGCTTCCTGTTCTTTTATCAACAATGTGTTCCTCTGTTCTTTCAAGTAATACAATAGTAGTCTTTTTAAAGGAAGTCATCATATATAAAGTCCTTTAAAGACCTACTGAAGAATCATTTTAAGCCAATGCTACCATACAAGTAATCCAAGTGCTGTCCAGATCAAACACAGCACATACCTGATTGACATTCTTAACATAACCTTTCCTACCTATAAGCACCCTGCCAAGTCTCAATCCAAGGAAAGGGATTTAAATGCAAAGAAAAAAATGGCATTATGTTTGTTACAAATAAAATTTTTCTTCATTAACCTACAAATATTACAGTTCTGGGGCATTACATCCTTTCACACATTTTTATCATTACATATTACTATTACAATTGATTAAACTCTGTATTCTGTAGTATACATTCAGCACTGAGAAACTTTGGTTCCTTCAAAAAACTTGCAGTATACAAGTTTCATGATTAACTAGGTACTTATAGACTTTGTAGGGTAGGGGAGCAGGTTTAAGTTCCCTTTGTTTATTTTGCATTAAAAATAATAAAAATTAAGCTTACTTTCTGTGCTTCCTCAAGACAACCACCTCAGATTTCACCATGTTATAGACCAACAAAAATCATGAAGGCATACTTTCATAATTCAATTTAAGCCATAATTCAATTTAATTTAATGATAGCATGCTTAGATTCTCAGATCACTTTTCTCTTTGAGTAAGTAGCAGTCTCCTCAGATAACCCAGCAATTATACAGGAAATGCTATTTTTAGATAAGGTTTATGAAGGACTCAATTACTCAATTTGCTGAAGTATATATAAATTCATATTTGAGATACTATATTTGCATGACATTAAAAAGCAAGGAGCAGTCTAAAGTTTGTCTGTTCTACCGTACACATTCTCCCATTCTTTGCCAAAGTTGTTCTGTCTAGAACCAAGAGAATCAAGGCCAGCCTCATTAAATAATATTGCAGCCAGGACTTGGCTATAAACCACCAGCCAGGAACTGCACGTCTCATCATCAATGAAGAAATTCCACAGATCCTCAGCATCTCAGTAGCAGTACATTCAGTCATAAAAATTACTAAGTTAAAACATATTGTTTTAGTTACTAAGTTAAACTAAGTTTTAGTTACTAAGTTAAAACAAATTGTGACTGGAGGGGGGGTGGAGGGGGAGGTTAAGGAGCATGCAGAATCACTTACCTACTCCCCGATCATCAACTGTAGGATTGTCTATCCACCTTTGAGCTTGCTCAATCTTGCCCTCCAAATGGACAGCTGCTTTAACTGGCCTAGTATTTGCTACAGCTCTGTTTGTTTTGGACTGTAAATTCTGAAGTGCTGTAGCTATTTGCTTAGCCAGTGCACGGGCCTCAGGAGAGTCACCTTTCCCACTGAGGATTTAAAAAATAGAAAAACAAAGTTATAGTAATATACAGATCTTTTACAGCTACTCTCGAATTCTGTAGGAAAAAGAAGACAAGAGAGGTACTTCATCTTTTAAATAAAGTAATATTTCAGACTTGAATCTCAGAACAAATAATGCAGATCTGTCGTTCATAAATCCCCACCTCATTTCGCTGCTGTGGCACCTAAATATTACTTATGCTCAACACAGCACTGAGGCAGGGGAAGGTATGGCATTGTCACTCATCAGTTTGATTTCCCATACCCATGGCCATCTTATGAACACCTGCAATAATGTCAGATTGCAAGTACAAAAGTAAGTAGCAACAGACCCAAGGCTATTCATAAACCAGAAAACAGTACATTAGGGCTGCCAATGAAGTATCAAGAAAAGTTTGAAGTGTCAAACTTCAAAGAAAAAATATTTATCTACATATTGCAACTGGCCATAGATTAAAGATCAGAATTTTTACAGTAATAGTTTCTCACTTCCATTCTCAAGCATCTCCTTTGCAAAACTGATATAGAAATATCATTTCCAGCTGAGCACTGAACACAAGGTAACAGGATTTTCTCCATGTCATAATATTTATCTTTTATAGAGTTTACAGTTAGAGATTAAAATACTTGACTCAGTATTCAAGTGCTAGGTATTGCACTCTGCCATGTAGTAAACTGGTGAGTGGAAAACAGTGATGACATTTGTCTGTATAAACAAACTTAAATTTCACATTATCTCATTCCTTTGAAGTGCTTGAGAATTACAAAGGCTTCAGTTTGCCTGTCAAGTGTTCCATGGGCAGTAAAAGAATAAAAATAAATTATAAAAAGACGCTATAGATACACAATTGTAGTCACTCTCATCTTTCTTTTGGAGGAAGATCACATAAGTCAGGCTTTAAGATATAAATCATTAAGGTGAAGCATTAAAAAGGATACTATATTTTATAGACTAAATTTTTTAAAGGATATTAAAAAAGGTTAACTTTTCTTTCTCCAAGAACTGAACAATTCTTTGTATTCTATTTTTATTATATGCAGGATGAAAGCTAGAAATTATTATATATCCATTTCTGGTTCTTGGAGGAAAATATATCCCCAAATGAATCATACATATTCTCATTAATAATTTAATCAGTTTGAACTGCAGATGAAACATTCAGATAAATTTATGGTGATAAAACCAAAATACATACTGTCGTCGCAGATCAGACAGCTTAGCTGTCAAAGCGGAGATCTCTCCCAAGGAACGAAGGATATCATCTCTTTCTTTAGGCTCCTCGCATAGTTCTGCAACTTTCCTTGCTTCAGCCATAATTCCCCGAATATGTTCCTCTCCTTCACTGCCCGCATTAGGATCTGCAAGCCAATTCTTAATAGGAAGAAGTTGCGTATAAGTGAAAATAAAACAGAATCAAAAGATAAAAGAAGAATCAATACTGTAATATAATTTTCTGAAGCAATTATTAAATTATTGGTGGTACCTGAGCAGCATCAATCTTCTTAGCAATAGCCTGCTTAGAGTTTGTCATGGCCTCCAATTTCCGGGCTGCATTCTCCACTTTTGCAGTGAGCATATCCAGGCCTTGCGACACCTGCTGCGCTTTCTGCATAGCCATTGGCGTAGCACCCTGTCCTCTGCCCAAGAGGAAAAGAACATCACAAATTCAGCTCAGGTTTGAAAAAAAGCCCTTATTTAATGAAGAGACAACAAAAACCGTTTATGAGCATTGCCAGCAATTATTGCAAGAATTACAGTATTAAATAAGAGTATATTTTTGCTTGGAAAGCAAAATTAACTGAGGAGTTTTTAACTGTTTTTAACTGTTCTTGTTATGTTCTAAGAATATATTTAGAGCATATTTCTCCCTTCCTAGAAATTTACATTTAGCAACCTCAGAAGAACTTTTTAAAAGTGTCACAAAGTAAGGCTAACTGAGGACACAGTTCATTTTATCTGCCCAGGACAAGACCTATTATCTACTCGTTCACAGACTGCTGCAACAGTCAGCCTTATGGGAGGGTATGCCTCACATTATGAAGAGAAGCCAGTAAGTGAAAGGAAGATGTCTTAGTTGCCTCAATGATGTTGACAGAGTAGATAAAGATTATGGACTATCGGTAAGATTTCTTAAAATTGAGAGAAGTGTCTGACCTATGCAAATTAACAGGACTGTAAAAAACACTTTGCAGCACTACCATTCTTTTTTCTGAAATGGTAAGAAGTTAAAAGTTGGATAGAAAAATTACTTCAAATATAGTAGTTTAGAAAAAAAAAATCTCATGCTCCATTCCAGAACACCTGACTACTGGAAAAGTTTAAGCATGTTGACTTTACCAACTTCATGCTCCTCTCCAACATGTTGTGCAAAAACTGGTAAAAAGCCCTTACATTCTCTCAGGTCACGCAGCTGGAAATCCATGTGAAGCCAAACCAAAACCAGCTTCTCATCCACTACCACTGTTATAGCTAATACACATGATTTATATCATTTTAATGACAGCATAACTAGTACTTGTGAATTTTGACCTATTATTAAAATATTATACCATGAAACCATTATGTCTAGCTAATGGATCCCTAAGAATAGCTTTCTGGAGTTTCTGCATGGGTTCTGTTTTGCTTTTTTTTTTGGGGGGGGTGGGAGGGACAGTGAGCATCACAACAAAAATAAACTGACGTTAGAACACTCTGACTTAAGTATTTACTACACTGATGAGCTGCTGAAAAAATGTATTGCATGAACAGCCTTCCTCTCCTATATGTGAAGAAACAATGCAACTGCAAGTTCAGAATAACTGTTTTAATAACACTGGAAAATTGTCCATTAAAAGCAATAGATTTACCTAGCTCGGAGATCAGCTAGTTGATCAGTCATCTGGCCCAGAGTTTTGCATGTCCCCAGAATCTCTCTGCGTTCTTTGCCTGCACACAGTTCTCCTGCTTTTCCAGCTTCATCAAGGATCTGTCTTATTGCTTGTTCACCAGCATCCCCTAAGATGTACAGTCAGTTAGTAAAACATCAAACAACACTTTCCTTGCTATCTATGAATAAACTACTACTTTCATGGTGTCCCACCACACTAATTGCACTATGTTCAGTCATCAAAAAATATTTATCAAAAACTATGAGATATACACCAAATGGAATAATGAGATGATATTTCTGAAACAGCATAGCATAACCTTAATAATGTGCATCATGTGCCATGTATTTCAAGTAATTTAATCATTCTGTTATCATAGCTTGATTTCTTTAAGAAAAAAATTATACAAATTATAATGTATTCAGGCTGAAGATATTCAGGATGAAAAGATTAATGTAGCCTTAACTTAACACAGTTTTAAATCTGATTTCATTTTGGGAAAAGAAGATGCAAGAATAACATCCCTGTCCTTGCAATTCAGCCATGGTTCCATCCTCTAGCATGGATAATGGCACCTTTGGTTCCTCCATTAAATTATTACACTGGAATTGGCTCAGAAGTCCTGCCATAAGGACCACTCAGAAGACCAAAACATTACAGGGTTAGTTCAGTGTAATATGCCTGACTTGCAGCAAGTTCTACAATTATATTTGCATTTGTCTTTAGCTACTGAACAATTAATGTTGTATTTCATTAATTGTCAATGTAAATGATAGAAGACTTTCAAATAACTGAGATTTCTGGCATTGAGTGTGGTAAAGGGAATGAGGCATAAGCAGCAGCTCCACAGATATGAATAATTCACTTCCAGCATTTACAACTGTATTATTTTGGCTTTAGTTTCAGACAAAGTGTTTCAGAGATAAGGTCTCTCGAAGTCTGAATGGAACAGGCCTCCACCTGGTTTTATTTGTTTTAAAGATGCATACTAAGGAAAAACCTTTATATAAATAAAGCTGACTGTAGTTATAGTATTTATTGCAGTTTTTCATGCTAAGCATTTTCTGTCAAGACTGAAAGAAAAATACTGAGAGTCTGCTATTAGATAAAACTGAAGTTATACAAACTTGAAAGTACAGGATAAGGAACTTTAAGTATTGGGATCTACTGCAGTTAAATACTGCTCAACATAATTCACTTATTTATGCTTTTACTAGTGGAATGCAAATATAAAATATGTATGTTATACAAGAATACATTTGGACAACTTAAAACAGGCAAAGATTTCCAGGACATTAAACACAACTTGGTAGATCTCCAAGTATTAAAAAAAAAAAAAGACTATCTACTGGTATCTTCAGAATGATCCACTATGCATACTATGCATAAGTTATTAATGCTTAACGGCTATTCAGACCTTAAAAAACTGAAATACTTTGCACTTGTTTTTGAATATTACCTGGAGGTGCATTTGGATCTCTCAGCCAACCTTTTGCCTGGTTCATCTTTGAATCTATTAAGGCTAAAGCTCTTTTCATGGCTTCAGTGTCCTTTGCAAAAGAGAAACCACCATAATGATTTTCAAAAAATCAAAGCATAAGAAGTCAACACAATCAAAGCAGACAGAAGTTGTATAAAGCACAGCCTACTTACAGAAACACACCCATGTAAGCAGCTCAAAACCCATTTTCAGACTAGCAGTTCATAGTCACTTATTTCCAAGTAAGGCAGACATTTTCATATCACTCAAAATGCAGAAAATACGCATGCAAGTTTAGTGATTTCTCTATTCCTTTATTTTCTTGTGTTTTAATTCCTAAATAAGCTCCAATAAGCACACATCTTAAGTGTTAGTTCCATTTTTTTCCTTAGTGTACATCAGAGCATGAAGATTAGAGTCAACCTTTTAAAAATGGAAATCAGCCAGTGAATTTTGCTACTTTCTGTACAAGAGGATGCACATCTGCAATTTTCACCTGTTCTGCTGCTTAAAATCCAATAGCTGCTGTCTGCAGAAAAACAGACTGCCAGTTAATTCCTAGAATTCTCAAATATGGATTTTACTGTCTTCGGAGACTTAAACACGTGTTCACATGCGGTTGTCTTAAACTCAGAACTTCTCTACCAGGAGCAAAGAAGCTGCTGCTTTGACTATTACGCAACTATTTTCCAGCACTTCTTTGACTAGAGAAGATAAAACCACTCAGTTCTCATCTCCCTGCATACTCTGTTAATTGTTCATGCATCACCTCTCCACTAGAGGCCAGAAGTTTTCTATCCTATACAAACAGGCAGAGTACCCAGCACCTTAAGTAAGAAGTTGGGAAAAAGCCCAAATAGATTTTTACCACACATGTAATGGAAATAATTTGAAATGCATCTAGTATCCCATGATTAGTACACAGGTCATGGAAAAAAAGCCTGGCCCTTGTGCTGTTGGACTATCCATGCCCAGCTCCTACAGAGAAGCGCCTGTTCCAAGCATCAAAGATCACTATCTGGTGCAACATGGGATACTCTTGACAATACTAAAAAACTGCCACATTTTTGTGAAGCAGTTCGTTCTGCACTCTTAGTCCCAAAGATACATTACTGGGGACATTTTGGCATTTAAGCCAGTTTTATTTAGGCATGTCAGTCTGTCAGCTACTTGTAGAGTATTATAATACAACTCAACTAACTTTCTAAAGGTCATTCAACACAGCTGGATATTTTTAAGGGCTCCAGATTCACAGCCCAAGAGAGTGCACCAAAAGCAGAACTGTTTTCACCTGGAAGACTGGTTCTCCAACCTAGAAATTGGGTCTCAAAGCTTAGGTCAGGATCTATTTAACAACATCCAAAGGATAGGACACGCATCTAGGGTTGGAAGGGGGGACAATGTTTTAAAAGTCATCTTCTCTATAGCTTGAGATTTGTGCATTTAATATACAAGAGTAAAGTAAATAATCATACAATAATTTAAAAACTGAAATGAATGCAAAAAAAACCCTTACCAGCTGTGATGGTAGGTGATAGTTTTCTGTTGTTTTATGTATGTACTAGAGTAACTTTAGCTTGGAATGAATGGTTTACTGCAGGCCCATCTACCCATAAATAATTTGAAACAAAGGATTAACTGAATTTTTAAAAAGGCAACAGATGTTGCTTAGCACATTGATGAGATGCTAGGTGTGGGATGGCTGGGAAAGGACAGCGTTGGGATAATGGGAGGGGCAGGAACTCCTCCCCTCTTTACTGAAGCAGCCTTTTGTGTTGCCTCAGTTGCCTGCAGAGTTGCAGTTACATCAAAATGATAAAGAAGTCTAAGAAGTCTCTCAATCTTAATCTCTTAGCAAAGGATGAAATTAAGGGTGTTTCATCTTTTACACATGATTTTGTGACTGCTAGCACTACCTAAGCAATGTGTGTTGAGCTGTATGGCTTGTACACGCATCTGGAGGTGCTTGCTGTGTTCATACATGTGGCTTGCATACATGTCTGGAGGCATTTGGTGTGTTAGCACATGTTCACACGTGTGGCTCTTATACATGTCTGAAGGTGTTAGGCGTGCTCACGCATGCTGCAACATGTGGCTTGTACATGTGTCAGGAGTCTGCATGTACATGTGTTTTTCAAATGAAATTTAGATCCTACCTGCCCTTCATTTAGAGCTAGAAACAACTGCAAACAACCAAAATCTGCTCAGACCACAACACCCGACACAAAGATCATATGAAGGGAATTTTGAAGAAAATATGCAGAGCCAAGCTTCTGGCAGAACAGATAGCTTATTCACCATCCAGGGTTCAATCCTACATGATACTAGATACTTCTCACCTACCAAAGTTTCAACCCCTTCCACTTCTATGGAAATGGGAAGTGTATGAATTGAGGATTACTTCAAGTTTACTATAAAAAGGAAAAGCTAAGAATATATGAGTTAAACTGCTCTGTAAAATGAAAAGAGGAAAAATTGGAACAAAACTATGAATAGAAGAAGTACATGCAGGGCTTTTTATCTTTTAAGGTTTTGTTAGAGATCCGTATTTTCTCACTATTTCAACTCTAAATCAGCATACTATTTTTAAAAAATTCTGTTTATTGCAATGCAGTAACAGTAACATGCACTTCAGAGTCTGTACGAAGACCGAAATAGTTTATGGCAAAGCCTACAGCTCTAGTTCCATAAATTTGTTCCTTCTCAACTATATCTATGTAGATTTTGTGATACTTTCACATATACACAATTCAAGAAAAAATAATAAAAAAACTTTCCAAATCAACAGAAGGATACACTATACCAGTAAAATTCAAGATTGTGCGTCCCCAAATACACCTTACTTTGCTCCAAAAAAGCATGGGAAAAAGAGCTTTCCTTTAATCACCAAGCATGAAACACATACAACAGTAATCTCAAGTAGAAATTAAGAACTCCTCCTCTCCTTCCCACTAAACAAACTGTTCAATACATATATACACAGTAAATACAAGGAAAAGGTCTATAATACATCACCATTAGCAAACTACTTCCTGCTTCTTCATCCCACTAAGCTTTTCAGCTCAAATTCTTTGTCATCATGTTTGGTTAATGCCTAGTGACACGGTTCCAAATTGCCAACATGCCCTAATTCAAATACCAAAATACTATTTAAAAAATTTTCAGCTCAGAAAGCAAAATGATACTTAGATATACTTGTCCGTACAACATACTCATGAATTATGTATAATGACCAACATTTTCTATTTAGAGAGACTGCTAATGCACCAACTGTTTTCTTAATAAAATCCTTTATTTAACCTGCCTTGTTAGCAATACAAGTAAGAATTTCCTAAGGCGAGCTTGCCAACTTCTTGCAAGTCTTTTTTTTTTTTTTTTTTTTTAAACCACGGAAGTTTCCAAATTTCTTCCGTAAAAGAAAACTGTACTTGTATTTCATACAATGCAGGAATGATTGAATCAAAAAATAAAGCTTAATTAAAAGATATACATACAAAATCAAAGTTTTAAGCCTAGATCTGAAGAATATGAAGAATATGAACCATCTGAACTGAATGAAGGAAAGCTACTACTGAAAAACTAAGGAATGGACAAAATCCCCGATTTAATAAAGCTTTCTGGACATACAGAAAGGTTGATCCTGCATAACTGGACCCTTTATTTATAACTACAGATGCTAGTAACACAGATTAACACAAAAGCATTCCACATGAATGTGCTCTAAAATCCTGGGCTAGCTCTAATCAGATTCAGAAGGACTGTCTCAATGCAGTTCAGCTTGCCATTACCATTCTCTTATGACAGCCAGTTCTACACATTGGGCTAGTAAGAGTCATTTAAAACTTCAATGTGTATTTACATAAGTATAGTGTTACAGCTGGCACACAAATAAAAAGTTGCACAGCACGTCTGCACACAGCACGAAATCCCACATACATGCTTGTTTTGTTTTAGTGCAAGGTAGAGGTGTAGGGTGTGGAAGAAAGCTTACCTTCTAAAGGTGAGAAAGGGGTAAGAAACAGGAGAACAAAAACAAAGATGCATAAAGTAGTCATAATAAGGAAGTGATAGTGACAAAATAACTCAAAAGGCAAACTAAGGGCCAAGTGTCAAACAATATAGGCCAAAGTGAATTTAATGCCTAGATTACATCGGTTAGATTTTCTGCAAGAGATTTTATTTGTTAATAAGTCTGGCTTTGTGTCTCAGTATTTTCTTTAAATAAATTTCCAATTACTTGTTGCTTGTAGCATAAAAAAGTTCACTTCAGTGATTTACCTTAAGATACTTAAAAAAAAAAAAAAAAAAAGGAGTATCAGTTGTGTAGCTATATTTATCTGTAAGTTCACAATAACATTTTTATGATGCTGGCCATCAAACAGCTTTAAAGCATATTTCAGTATCTGCATCGTGTAACATTTAAGAGCACTGCCTAAACCCTCCAGGTAAGTGGTTAAAGTCACTTACACGGTTTAATACTGAGTTATAAAGAACCAATTCTGCCCATATGCCGTCTTCACAGAAAGGCTGCTCAGAATAGCATTGTCCTTTTTCAGACAATACAAACACTTGAAATTTACTTCCATACCCAGACTAAAAATGGGGCAGGGATGGGATGGGGTGTTGGTGTTCAAGGAAGTATCCCCAAAATTGACTAAAGATTCCCTAATTTCACGCCTTTTGCACAAGAAATACGACAACAGTCTAGCTCTTTTAGTATAAAGGAAAAAAAAAAAAGAATCACACAATCTCACTAACAGATGCATAGCTACAGGACCAGTTTAAGGCATAGAACAATACCTTTTACACCTAATTTCCATCAGTCAAATATGATGTAAGTTAACTATACGTAGCAAAAAATAAAAATTAGAGAAATACACAGTATTCCAGGATTACATATTACACATCAGAACTAAGGTGTGAACAAATTTAAGTCTTCTGTGCAACCATTCAGCTCCAGTAACCATTGGTACACCTTCAAATAACAGTCCTTTAATCTAGCTTCTTGAGAGAGAAAGCTAGTTTTGAAAAACACATTAAAACAATCATCTGTGGTAATGTTGTTCAACCTTGAAGAGATTACATAATGTACTGCAAAACTGATGGACAAACGCACATTTCAACAGTCTCAGATTCACAAGCAAGTCTACAACACAAGAGTTAGACTTCTATATCCAAACATAAATGTGAAACATACCTTGCTGGCCCAGGCATCTTCATCCCAGGAAGTGAGTTGTAATACACGGATTATTTCATTTATCTCAGCACTCATTTTCTCTACTGTGAAATTGCGATTTTTCAAGGCCTCTTCTATTCCCTGGCTTTTAGAGTTTTTCGTGGTTACAAAAATTTTCATAGCTGTGAAAATACCACAGATTAGAAAAAAACTATATGTAAGATACAATCAATATTCACGGTAACCCTGAATACTATTGCATTAATGGGGAAAGAGTGCATTTTTTTTTATTATTTTTTTTAATGGAACAGTTTATCTAAACAGATTGTAGTTTTGGTCAACTGTGCTTCTTGGAGCTTTTTGTCTTGCTTGTTGTTTGTTTTGTGTGTTTTTGTTTTGTTGTGTTTTTTTTTTTTAAGTCATTAAGTCTCCATCTATAACTACAACAGCGTTTTTAACATTACTGTACGGGTTTGAGCTCTGAAACCAGTTAATTAGACTGACATAGCAATACTACTCTTGCAACAACCACATTCATAATTTCCAATTAAGAAGATTGTCAGAAACACAGGCATTGGCATGTGGTAAGAGTTCAAACCTGCTTCGTAGCACATTCTGCACATAATGCCATCAGTGCCTTGCTGCTGCAGCTGACAGTGTTTGGTCAGTGCAGTGAGATCCAGAAAACACCACTGCAACTTCATTTTATATTAACTTGCAATTAATTAATTAATTTATTTTTAACATTATTACAACTGTCTCACTTTATACAATTCACAGTTCCTCAAACAGACAAGTGTCAAATGCACTCCAGTAATACCATTAGCCACCAGCCTTTGTGATGGCAAAGAAACAGCATTTGAAGCCATTATTTAACAGATGTCCACGATACCTCAGAATAGAGACAGAAATAAAGCTTGTGCACACATGCAATACTAACATTACACTCATTATCTTTGCAGAAGGGATGGAGTGGAAGCGATGTGATATATTTAGAACTGTTGTATGATGTAGATCTATTCCGCAGTATAGCCAGGAAAATAAAGGCAAGTTCACATCCCTTGATACCCTGGCAACAGAGTCTGTGCACACTTCCTCACCCAAACAAAAGAGTGTTCGCCCAATTTTTAAGTTTACTGCTAAACCATATATTTTATTTGCATTTTTTGTTCCTCTCCATTATCATAATATGCCAAAAACGAGCCAGAGAATTACAACAGAAGGATATTCTGTATACAGTTATTAAGCAAGCAAAAAATCTGAGTAGGATAAAGGGAAATGATTGTTCTGTTTTAGAAACCACCACGGTGCAAAACTTGGTGTGGACCACATTATATCTGGGTACATACAATACATGTCACTGCTCTTTCCCCCCGGGCTGCCCTAAGAAGTAAACGACTCTTGTGACTGCCTATACATGGCTCAGCACAGTGAGATACTGCCAGGGCCTCCACATAAAAGGAAACAGTGATGCCAGCAGACTGTTATGTCCTTGCAAAAGAACTTGGTGCGCCAGAGCCAGTAACGCTACAGCAGTCCAAAGTGAAGGTTTCAAAACATCAGTTATCTCTTACTACAACTGAGCTACTCCATTACACCAAGCCTTTTAACCTAAAATGTTCTTACAAGACTATATTAATGCACAGCCTCTTAGGGATATATGCTAAACAACGATTAAATACTTAAAATCAAGAAAGCAAAATGCCATTCAAAAAATCAAATGTATCGTGTAGTTATTTTGCCATTGGTACAGAAGCGGTGTCAATGCTGATAGCTTTTAGTCAACATGAAACAATGTAATTCCAATTCAGAATAAATACTGATTCAGAGTGACATTAAAAATTACAGCAAAAAAATACCTGAAATAAGTACTGGCAATAGCTCCTTCACAGTATTCATGGAGTTTACCAGCATAACTCTATGTTCCTGATGAGTTAACTCCTGTTGTCTTTCATCAATCATTTTCGCCATCTTTGTCATTCCTAAAAGATTAAAGCAATTAAACAGTCAGAAATACAGCATTAAGTTTAATTTGCAACAGTTAGGCTTTCTAAACAAGAACAAAATGCATAACAGCAAGTACATGTAAAACATTTCTTTATATTATAAGTCATTATTTAAATTGCATTCTAGGTGCTTCAAAGTCATTGATTCAAAACCTAGCCACTATTCAAGGAAGAATTGAAGTCTCAAAACTCCAGATTTAACATACCAGCAATCAAATATGAAAATAATACCCCGAGTAACCAGTTTCAGACATTAAGCCACCTCATGAACTCTGGAAGCCAATTTGCAGGGTTGGTGGTTTGTGAGTTTGTTTGTTTGTTTGTTTTTTTCCTCCTCCTTTTCTGTTAGGATTTGATCAAAGCTTTAAGAGTTAATGGCAGAAAAAGGAAACTACTGGTTTTTTTTGTTTGTTTTGCCTTCAAAGTCTTTAGGTTCTAGTAGAGCTCAAGAATTGCATTCATTTGTACTTCAGTTCTGCTGGAAATATTTCAGTGCTCTAGAACTGTGCAAAGAATTCAATTTATTCTAGCACAAATCTAAGAGCTAAGACTTGCAAGGTTTACCACACAGCACAGGTGGAAACTTCAGAGAGAGCTCCATAAAAATTTAAACTGCTTTAAATTGGTGCTGACATGGTCCCACCCTCTCCCCCTTAACAGGGCACAAAGTTAGCAGAAATTTACATAGTGTGTGGCTGAAATAATCTGCTAGTTAGCATCTTAAGCAACTTTATATAACAACGGTTACATGAGCTTCAATGCCAATGCTAAATAGTAACGGAATCCCCACACTGCCAGCACAGAGTGGATAAATTGTGCAGAATCACATTTTTGTTCAAATGACAGAAGACGCCTAAAGACTCCACTTCCACCACAAAACCTGTAAGCATTTGGTTGATGTAATGGGAAGATACCCTTGCTCATGGCAAGAGGTATTGGAGTGGATGATTTTTGCTGGTTCCTTTCCAACCTAAACCATTCTATGATTCTATAATCCCATTATTTATACAGTTCTCATATTGACAGTAAGGTCAGATGCCCAGTGATATAACTGAAGGCAACTAGGACTACTGGCATAAAACGTTTTGTGGACATGGGCTGTAAGCATTAAGCAGCACATATTTAGAGCATGCCAGAAGCACAAGATTAAGTATGTATCTGTTTAACAGTATGAATTTAGACAAGATTAATTCTAAGAAATTAGACAGTTGTCTAACACCTATTACCTCCATCATACAACCAAAACAGCAAGTTATGTCTCAAGTTAGTGAGAAATCCCAAAGGCTTCTGACTAAACCAAATAAAATATATCAAAGTTTAGGGAAACCTCCATTTTAATGACATGGAAGATAATGACCACATAAATTATAAGTGTAAAATAACTAATTTCACAGAAAGAAAATTATCTGTTTTGCTTGATCTTTGCTTGTTCATAAGGAGGCAAAAATCTATTTAGTTGAAGGTAATTTCTCTGGGACATTACAGAAGTTTAAAGAACACTATACCTTCATGTGAAAACTGAAGTTTTTCCGACCTAGAAACAGGGTAAAGTATATCCTTATGTTCAATAAAAACAGCATAATTTTCAAGTAGACCAAGGATGACAAACGTACTCCGACATCAGAGCTACTAGTCTGTTAGCATCCAATTTTATTTATGAGCTAGCTATCCTTACACTACATGCATATTCTTATTTATATGTATATATAGCTTATTTATAAGCATTCTTCAGTTCAGTGTAACTTCACCGCAACATCTTCCTATATTTCTAGCACATCTCCTTTTGGTAGAATGCTTTTGTTAAAGTACTTTATGCCTGCTGGAATCAAAGCATTTGGAATAGTGGATGACAGAGATTGAGGGTAAGTTTCCTCCATAGCAACTCAGTGCTTCACTTACCAATCATTTATTTCCACCAGTAAAAGAGTGCAAGTTAGCACAGGGAAATAACAAGCAGTGAAGGAGCATCAAATAATGAAGGAAAAGAATTATGTTAACAGCTGGACTTTTGGATTACACTGCAAGACAGCTATTTCTGCTACCTCATTAAGATGTTAATCTATGACATGGTGCTTCTACTACTCCAAGTAATTCCTATTAGCCCTAACCATCTCAGTTAGTACAGACATTTTAACTGACTTCATAGCTGTGAGTGCTTAATTACACAAGTTTCTTTTTTTTTTTTTTTTTTTTTTTTATTCTGACTAATGCATGCTTACTTCCCTCACATGACAGTGTAGGAAATTAGAGTACATATCACCTGTATAGTGTGTGTCATTTACCAGCATCCTGACTATTCTTTATTTTTAAGAGAGAAAGTCAATCACAGAAGAGTAATCAGTCACGCTCTAGTTTAAACAGACACTTTCAAAGCAAATGCTTTATCATTATCCAAATGCTCAAAGCTTGGTTAAGGTGAATAAGGTGTGTGGGGGAGAAAAGATAGTGGAAAAGACTACGCTTCGAATGTTTATGATAGACTGCAGCAAATCAAACCTGGCCCTAGATTCTTTGTGTATGTCACCAAATCCTCCATAGTCTCTACTACTTCCGCCACAGTCAGATATTCCAATATTCCTTTGCAGACACGGATGATTTTACGGACCTAAAAAAGGAATATTCCATCATTTATTAGATGAAGCTAGGTTACACTTGAATTAGAAATGCAAGCTTATCATTAGAACAGAATAGGTATAGCATTTGTGATCACCTGTACATCATGTTAGCAAAGGTCTGGGATACAGAGAAAGCAGACTTCAAATGCTCATCGGAAATATTATTCACCATACAGCTTTATATATGGATAAAGAATTATGAAGCACTCCAGTGAGAGAAGGTAGATACAACATTTTAAACCTTCCAGAAAAATCTGTCTATGAAGACTGTACTTTATTTACCTCTGGACTTCTGCCTCAGCAATTGATTACTTAATTTTTTTAGTTCACATTTAATTGCACAGAGTTCTCCTAAGTTGTTTAACTTAATTGTCTTACCTCCTGAACCACATTATTTCTGACAACACCATGTACAATTCTCATTGAAGAATGACTTAATTAACATTTAACTCAGATCAACCACATGCAGGGTTCAGTCCTTAGAACAGATCATAATTTCCTCTAAAATTCACTTTAATTTTGTCTCCATGTTAGTTTATCTTGAAGCACAGTAGGACACAGTCATGACAGGTTTTGTATTAGAGAGAAATTGATAATTACAGACTTAGTTTTTTTTAAAAAACACACGTAAGAGACAAGAGTTCAATGAAGCATTAACTCCAAAGAAATCAACCTCTTTCCTAAACACTGGAAAAAGGGAAATTAAAAGCTATTAACTTCCTTACAATTATGCCCTATAAAACTTTGTAGCATTTATTAAAAACACTTAAATTGTGTAATCACTAGTGCTACTGAGGAGTCCCATAGCACTCTCCCTATTTCAGAGGAATATGCTAACAGTATCATGAGCTGATTAAATGTGACATAGGGATGCCACGTTAGACCACTCAGAACAGCAGTAGGAGTAACACAATTTCTTACATTAACAGACAGCTGCAAAGGTAAAATTTACAATTAACAAGAGCATTCCTAACAGCATTAGCTTCAGTTCTTCATAACAGTGTAATATTTGCTACTTAGAAAGGAATGACTCCATACTCCCAGTGAGAGCATCACAAGATTAAATAAGATTCGTAACACAAATAAAAGCTTTCAAGTATAAGATACTCAATATCCATCCACCCCCTTCCTTTTTAAGTTTTCTTGCATCTCTGTCTTTCTCCCATCTGAGGCACTACAAACAGCACCTCCGAGCCACTTTTTGGCTTGCAGTAAAGCCAAAATGAAGCAACTGTTAAATCTATCAGAACACGTCCTCTGGCTAACCAGTCAGCTCAAATTTGCATGATCTCCTCCACCCCAAGGCCAATTAAGTTGCCACAGCTAATGGGGTCAAAGAAAGACATGTTAGGGTGTAAGACACTGAAAACAGTGAAGGGACACGGAGAATGTAAGGATCAGGTATTGGTACAGTTAATGGAATACAGAAAAATGTCGGGAAGATATAAGACAGGGTAGATAAAATCAGGCCTTTCTGAAGAATAATTATAAGCAACACAAACATGTCATACAAAGATGCTCTTAACAAAACAGAGCATGAAGACCAAGCTTCTTCTGACAGAAAGGAATGCAGAGTATGCTTCCAATCAAGCTAAGACAATCAAAATCACATTCAACTGCAATAGCCTACATTAGCTGAACACTCGGTTAGGTAGATATTTGAATTAATAATACCATTGTGCAGACACCTATGTCACTCATATTGGGATTCCTACCTCTGCTTCATCAAATGTCAGAAGCAAGTCTGATGTTCCAGAAAGGATACCTCTTGATCCATCAATCAGATAGTCACGAGCTGGTACCGAATAAGGATCTGCTTGCAGCATCTGGGCTGCCCGGACAAGTTTGGTGCAGGCATTCTCCACTCTGTGGGAAGTCATCAAACGAAAGTTGTTGATCACTTTGTAAAAGCAACAGATACGGAAAAAGGCTGGAGGATTTGTTTTTAACCTTACTACTTGAAACACTACAAGAAAACTGATCGTTATACATCTTTATAGTTTAAAAAGTGAGATCAGTTTAACAAGACTAATTTTTATTTTTTTGAAGTAAGGCAATCTTCCAGCATAGTGAGCGAAGTATTGTATGTACAGCAGTCAATGCAGGGAGTCATTAAGGAGAGGTCCCAGCCATCATCATGGCAGAACACCTTTTATTCTGAATGACGGGACAGAAAACAAAACAACTGTTCTTTTATTTGCACTGACATTCAAGACGGAATTGCTAAATATTAAATGATAGCTACCTATTAAGACAAAACAAAGAAACAAAAGAAACATAATGAGAAAACTGAGACTCACTGCCCTGCTCCTTGAAGCTACAGACTAGCTTTTCAAAGTCTGTTAACACTCATATGAGAGAAACAGCTTTTAAAATGGCCATAAGATTCAGTGGTATGGTATAAATGTCAAATGCAGCTTGTGATTCCACATGTAAGAACAGAAAGGAGGTTTTACAAAATACTGTCATATACATGTATAATTACAGTAACACAAAGTATTACAATAAACAAATAAGCTCTAAAAATAGGTTATTTCTGTCAAGCCGTTAACATGACAATTTAAAACTGATCAAAACCTGAAACATTTAAGACTTTGGGTTTTGTTTGCTTGTTTTAATTACTTCACAACAGCTTAAAGGAATACAAAACTCGGACTCTGACTCATTACTGACTGTGCTATGACTTTCCTCCTTTCTCTCCCTTTTCTTTAAGAAGAATCTACATACAGACTCTATGCTTGAATGCCATGTGCCCACTCAAACTTCACGAAGTTCCAACAAACACAAAACTCTTTCAGTACAGCAATATTATTTCTCAATGTTTTTCATGCTTCTCAGAGCCCATTTTCTACTGACCGCCTGAACACATCTTCTCTCATACTTTCAATGTTATTGGAAAGTTAGTTATTTCGTTTTCTCCCCTATGCTCCTTGCTACACAAATGGCAAAATTTAATGGTCACTACTAACATTGGATACACTAGAAGTAAGATTCGTTACAGGAAAACACACATTTTTTCATAAAGTAAAGTTTTCATCTAACGGCTCCCTGGAGCAGATCAAATTGGGTCAGCTGCCCTTATCACGACCTGCTCTTCATTGAGACATCTGCTCAGCACATCAGGTGGTGGGAGCTCACAACTCAGCAGGAAAACACAGGAGTACTTCAAGGTGGGAATGGTCTGCTCATTGCTATGCCATGTACTCAGCTCTATTATCAAAGTCAACTGACTGCACTAAATTAGATTTCCCCACTTACTTCTCAAATTTATTCTTTTCAACTCTGCCAAGAAAGGGATTAAACAAATCACCTATTCAGCCAGCTCTGAGACATGCTCAGAAATACTTCATTTCCTACAGTTCAATTTCATGGTCATCTTTTTAATGCCAATTATCATCCCAAGGCTGGCTTTTTCATTTGTGGAAAAAAACAAAAAACAAAAACCCACTAATATAAGTGTGCATTACCTCCAGAAGTCACCACAATGTAGCACAAAAATAAAGTTACTAAAGATTCAAAGATTTCTCCTGCAGTTTTTTCAGAGTTGGACTTTAAAAAGGTAATCCTGCATTTTACTTGTACAATGCCCATTTTGTACAAATTTCCCACTGCATTTAAAAGACCTCAGGAGTGTGCACCATGTAAAAAAAAAGCAGAGAGATGTTAAAAAAAAAAAATACAGATGCCCTCCGATCCTTGCAAGGCATACATGCCAGGAAACAAAAGACTGGCAAGGGGAGTAGGGTGTAAATCAGTTACTTGGATTTTTGCCCCCCAATAAACCACACTTCAAAGAGTTGCTTGTTCTCTCACAGAAATCAAACACATACAAAAGCTCTCAATTTCTTTCATTGCTTCGTTTCAACTTCAAGTTCATTGCTATGGTAAGTTTTCAGCCTAAAACTTCATTAAGGCACAGCTGAGTCACAACATCTTTGATACTTTATGCTCTTAATTTGTATAATTTGCATTTTTGTGTAAAATCCACACCTACAGAATTACACAATAGGACTAAAGAAAACTTCAGATAGGTATGCATTTTATATATGCACTTTAAGACAAAAATATTTTAAGTTCAAACAAATGGAAAAAATAAGCCATAGAAATAAAGAAAGTAATGTTAATGACAGTTTCTGTGAGTTACCACCACCATCACCTATTCTTTGTCACATTCAGAACCAAAGAGCATATAGTATATCTAGTTTGCAAAGGGAAGCAGGTAGGCGCAATAAACATCAGAGCTGAAGGTCTTCCAACACCAAAAGATCCTAAAATACCAGTTCACAGAAGAGCCTGCACAGGCTGTAATATAATGTACATTACACACTAATACATCATAAATAATTCATTTTAATATTCAGGGTGTTGGCTTATAAATAAAAATCACATTTTAAATGCCCAAAGAACAGCTAAATAACTGCTAGATATGTAAACCAAATTGTACTGAACATTAGATAACACCCCGTTTATAGCTGAAGGTCAGTAAGCAAGATGTATTTTGATACTAATTTTTGTAGATGTACACAGATCACAACATAACTGTAACGGAATTGGGTTTGTATAGATCAGAATGTTTATGTACTTTCAAAAAACATTAAAACTGCTAAAATTCAGACAGTGCGTGTGGAAAAACATCTCTCATGTTACTTTGTGGTCTATTTCATTTTGAGTAGTATTTTGTATTGGACTTAATAACATTTCAGAATGACTGCGGTTATTCTGTTTGATTTACTGACAAGCTGTTTCAGAGTTTGGCAATTCTAGCATAGCACCATTTAAAAAAAAAAAACAAAAAACATTATGAAGTACTGTTCAGAATGTTTTTTGTTGTTGTCATTAAAAATAAATAAGAGCTTAAAGACTAATAACTAGTAGTCAAAAAGACCAAGTCTTTTTCATTTTGACAGTTTGAACACTAAAGCAAGATGCTTCAGAGAATCAAGTATTTTACATTTCACATTGCTCATGTGAACTACTAGCCACAGTAAGTGGTGACATCTCTTCACTGGCAAGTAAGTCAACGTGTTTACTGTAGTGTATGAAAGAACAAGCCTGTAAGAAGACAGAGACAGCTGAATAGTTAGAGTAATGCGAGACCATGATACAATCTACCTTCCAGTAACTTAATCGCCCCTACCTTAAGATAAGTCATCCCTATAATCTCACTGTGTTCACTTCACTAGCTTAACGCTGAGAAAATCAGACTTTGGCACAGAGATACCTGCAGCCTAACTTGCATTGTAGATGTAAACAAAAGCAAAGGCAGGGGAATTGTGCCAGGTAGGATTACACATAATTTAGTTACTTTTAAATCAGCTAGCTCTTTTTAAATATTCAGTTCAGAGATGCATGTGAAAGAACTCAGTTTTTCTAAAACCATTTCTCCATTAAGACTAGGAAAACACACTATTCACTTATGTTGTTTCATTTTATGCTCCTAATTACAGAGGATTTAGCATTAACACATAGGTCAGATAGGTAATAACAAATCCATTTTCTTTCTTCTCAGTTTGACAGCCAAAACCATCTAATCCCTGTATTACAAATTAAAAATACAGCTTCATTAAAAAAAAAAAAAAAAAACTTATTTTAGAGGAGTGATTACTATATAAATATGTTAACACCAGCCAAATTCTGTGTGGAGAAGACAGACACGGGTCATGCTATTCCCAACAATGCTATTTTTCAGTAGTCGGTCAGCTTCACTGCTGTTATCTTCTTTAAAAAGCGTGAGGAAAAATTTAGCTTATGCTGAACTTTTTTTTTTTTTCCCCTAGGGATGAAACAAAGATGCCTGCTCAAAATGCCTAAATAAGGCTTGTTTCAGTTTCTAATGACTCCAGTTGAAGTGGCTAAGCTCACTAGAGTTTAGGTTACTTACTGTTCAGAAATATTTTGTTTGCTTTTTAATTTGTGTAAACTTCAGCTGGTTAATATAGCTGACCAGCAATGCAGCTCTAGCTTGGCCACAAAAATGCCAGCATAGAACAGCATTACTGCCAATTTATTAAATGAGTTTGCATATGCGAGTTAAACGCAGACAAATTTTTATTCTGAGTGCAAACAGATCGGGTGTTACACTATTCTTTGTCTAGAGATTGCAGCTTATCCTTCTTTACAAGTATAACGAATAATATAAACACACTGCAAAACATCTGATATAATTTATATGAATTGCTTATATTCCCTCAGGATTAAGACAATTAAAATAAAGAACATGGCATTTTTTAACTCTAGGTCAGTAGTTCCAACGTGGTTTATGTCAGCAGCAAGCAAAGGGATGCATCATAGCTTCTCAGCAGCCAACAAATAGTTCTGCTGCACGCACTCCTACTGGAAAACCTGACACATTACCATCATATATATTACACTTATTATGAACCCTCAACGTCAGTCTTAAGAGAGCCAAAAACACAATCTTTAAGAAGACTAAACCAATCTTCTCCCTCATCCTCCAAGAGTCGTCGCCTCAAGTCTGGTGGTCATTTTGAGCGTGGAAAATATGCACAGGGAATGCATTGCTCATGCATGCACAGTTTTTATTATCCTATCAGACGTGTATCAGTACAAGTTTTGTAGAAATCCCTTAGAGAGGACTGCCAGTTCCTGAACCAGCACTTAAGAAACAAGCACACCTCCCCTCAAAAGAAAAACAACCCTCATCTGTTTCACCTCCTGAATCCAAGTCCTGCCCTTAAACACAGAAACAGGTAGGGCTCACTTGGCAGCTCATTCATGACTGTCACTTGTTCCTACAACACACAAGTCAGTGATGATATACTCCACAGTGTTAACAAGAAACCATTATTAATAAGTACTAGTTCACTCTATTATAAATTCCAGGTTAACAAAAAACAACAAATGCAACAGGTTATCTATCATTCATGAATGCCATTGATCATTCAAAATTCATGTTACTGAATCTTAAGTACCACATGAAGTATATTTCATTACTGGGACATGGTTTTGCTTTCCATTTTTACTGTATTACAATCCAAGCAGTCATGCATTGCTGCACAGGGCCCTTGCTTTCCGCATGAAGTGGTACCATTTAGCAGTGCTTATATCACATTTCTATAGTAACTTAACTATGTAAGTCTCCAGAATCTGCTACATGTTGATCAAAGCCTGGTTGCTGTAAGCAATTAACAAGTCTTTTCCTTAATCCCTTACTCGCTTTAGTGAACATGAAGCTATAATGAAGTAAAACTCTACACATCCTAGAAAATGAGTACAGCATTACACACTCACATACAACTCACTAAGAAGCAAGAAAATGGTTTTAGTCTCATTTTAATACACATACACACACACCCTCCAATAAATAAATATTCAGAAAAGAACAAATCCTACCAAACAAAACAGCCAAACAAGATCACACACCAGAAACACAGCATAATAAACACTGTAGTGGACTGTATCAAAGGCCCATTTAGCAAAGTATCCTGTCTGCAAAAGCAGCTACGAATACATGCCTTCTGTGGCTTAAGAACAGGATAAGCATTTATCATACTTCCTTTGGGCACTCTCCCATTCTCCAACAATTTTCAGTTCTTAAGATTTCCTGTAGTTTGCCTATTTGATATTCCACAATGAATTCATCTGAATACTTGCCTGTTATCCTCCAAACTTACATAAAGGAACTGTAATAGTACCTGACCCACATAAATAACCTTCCCCTACTGTTGGTTTATGAACTATCTTAACGCAATGCCCTCATCAAGTTCTTGCACAGGAAGAAAAGTAGAAACTTCACCTTTTCCATATTCAAGGTATGAGATAGTAGCATATAGTGACATTTTAGCCTCTCATCCTTCACTGATAAACCTAATTGTTGGTTTACTTTGCGACCACTACTGAGCATATTAAGGGTGCTTTCACCAGCGTATCTCAGAACCAGAACCTTGCTGTCATTGTCAGTGACAGTCAGTTCAAAGCCAATCATCCTGTCAGAAGCAAGAGCTGCTGCTCTCCCACACACAGGCACCACTTCAGATCTTTCAAAATTATTTCATCCACATTAAAATAACTTACTTTAATATGCTCCTGCTGTAATACGTTCCTGCTCTTCTGCATAAGATTTTGGGTAAATCATCAAGTAGTTTCACCTCACTGCTCATTCTAGTTTCCAGGGCATTAGTGAACACTGTTAAAAGCACCAATACCAGCCCAGATCTTTAAAGCCCAACTAATTACCACTGCCATTGCTAGGGTTAACCATGTAATTCTTCCTTTCATTTTCAATCTACTCTTTTCCATTAAAGATCTTCTCTTATTACCATGCCTACTTCACTTTCTTTAAAAGCCTTCAGACTGCTCCAAAAACTTCAGAAACCAATGTGTACCATACAACTTTGATTAGCCTTTTCCTGTTTGTAATATTTCTAGACACCATGTATCTAAGACACCAAGAGGCATCTTAGAACACAGAATTTCCCTCACCTGAAACACTTCAATCACCCAAAGCAAATATGTACATCTATTTAGGACCTGCTAGTTCTCCTTCTTTGCACAGAACTTCTAGTCATTTGCTCCATAGGCATGTGAGACCTACAGATTTCCTGCTCCCCAAACTCCCCTCAGCGGAAGCTTCTCAGGCAGTAGCAATGCCTTGATGGACATTCTGGGTAGTCTCCAGTGAGTGACGGTAGCTCACTAATAACTTAGCTCATAAAATATCCTGAGTTGGAAGGGACCCACAAGAATCATTAAGTCCAACTCTTGGCTCCACACACCACCACCCAAAAATCAGACCACATACCTGAGAGTGCTGTCTAAATGCTTCTTAAATTTCAGCAGGTTTGATGCCATGACCACTGCCCTGGGGAGCCTGTCCTAGTGCCTGACCACCCTCTGGGTGCAGAACCTTTCCCCAACACCCAGCCTGACCCTCCCCTGTCCCAGCTCCATGCCGTTCCCTCGGGTCCTGTCGCTGTCCCCAGAGAGCAGAGCTCAGCACCTGCCCCTCCGCTCCCCTCGTGAGGGAGCTGCAGGCCACCATAAGGCCTCCCCTCAGCCTGCTGAACAAACCAAGGGACCTCAGCTGCTCCATATACATGGCCTTCTAGACCCTTTTCCATCTTTGTAGCTCTTCTCCAAACACGAATTGTTTTGTCTGCCACAACATAAGAACATCAGAGTGCACACAGTGCTTGAGGTGAGGCTGAACCTCAGCACTGCTGTGCCTGATGCACCCAGTACAAGGTTGGCCCTTTTGGCTGCCAGGGCACGCTGCCAATGGTGTTCAACTTGTTGTCATCCATATGCCCCAGATCCCTTTCTGTGAGGGCTATCCAGTCTCTCATCCCTCCATCTAAACCTATAGCCAGAGCTGCCTCATCCCAGTTGCAGAATCCAGCACTTGCTCTTGTTGAACAAGTAGGTTGATAACTTCTCCATCCTCTCATCTGTCATAAGATCTCTAATTTATTTCATTTTTGAACTTGAACTATTTCATTTTTCAACTTCTATAATTCATTAGAGTACCTGGTCCTAGCACTTTTTTTAATTACTCATTTTGTCAACCTACACTGGAACATTTTTTTCACTGCCATAGTGGAAGTTCTCTTCTAACTTCATCTTTGTTCTCCATTTCATTGTTTTTCCAATTGTCTGTTTTCTTAGTTTAAGTATCTGCTTATTTTGTTTTGGGGAATACAGTAAAGTACAAATTCCTTCTGTACGTATTAGAGAACATCAATGGAGAGGTCACTGACTTGAGTGTATAGAGCAAGGTCACTTCAGAGTGAAAGTCTGCCAGTTGACAGTCCGAAGCTTGGCAATTCCACAAGAAGTTGTGATCTACGATGTTTAAGATTTAAGACAACAGAAGGAGAGGATCATTCATCCTTGACAGAGCCATGAAATTAAGAATGTCAGTCACTACTCTTCAAATGCCTCAGATTTTCACATGTATATGTGTTTGTGTTCCAGATTTTCCACAGTAATACCACACATCAGCTGGCTCTACTGCCACCTTCACACTTTTCCATCAAATTAACACAAGATTTGAGAACATACATCTCTGATACCGTTAGGCAAAACAACGGCATATAGGTAAGTGGTAGTGTTAGTCTGAAAAAAAAAGTTTATTTTTAAAGGAAAACATACCACAAATATACAGAAATATAACAGGGAAAGTCCCTGTTGGCAGAAAGGTCATTTCTAAATGAAGGTCAAACTGAAGTTTACAAAGAATTATTCAAATGAGAGCATTTTCTAATATGTACAGCAAAAGTTTATAACAATGACCCATCATTGGAACATGTTTTCGGTACCAACAGTAGAACATTTACAATAAAATGAGTTTACTTGATGAATGCTGGTGGCATATCCCTTTTCAAGATCTGGTCTTCTGTTGTCTGAACTGTCTCTTTTCCAACCTGCAGGAGAAAGAAATCATATGTAAGATTTAGAACATCAGTGCAAAGCCTGTAAGAATACAAATAGCAACAACAACTAAAGAAGGATTTGTGCTAGTGACACGTCCTTTCACTAACTTAGTTGCTGCTGTATCTAGTTATGAGACCTTTATACCAAGTTAGCCTTATGTTTTAGAAATCAGTCCTTGTCACTCACCAGCAACCCCAATAAATTAACTGGCAGGGCACTCATCTCCCAAAATGCTCCACAGAAACAATATTATTTGTTCACCACATTTGTGTTAAAATATAAATCACAATCAACTCTGCAGGCTTCCCTCCCTCCTGACCCAAGTGTCAGAAATCAAGTTCAAAGTTGGAAAAGATTGGAAAAGTTCAATAGCAAAATGAAGGCACTCTATTAGAAAAATGTAGTTAATTACTGAGAACACACTCCACATCTCACATCATCCTTAGGCAGAAATAATTACAAAAAAGCTAATAAAGGGAGAGATAGAATAAGATCTGGGTTTTTCTGCATACTAGCTCATGGTATACAATAGAAGTCTTTATAATTGGTAGCTGGCTCCCTGGACTCTGAGATCACCAACTTGACAAAATATTTCCAGCTCCTTTGTTCACTGTATTTTCCAGCTGAATAAGCCATTCATAAAGGCATCACAGAGCAGAAGGTCTTTAACCCAGACACTAGTGTGTGTCAAGAGCTGCCAGGCCTGCTCAAGCTAGACAAGATAGCACTGAAAAATCCTCAATCAGCTGGTGTTTAAAGGTTTGTTGTTTTTTGACAGTTTCTAGTGTGCCAGCATGCTCAGCAGTTGGCAATTCTAGTGTTGTACAGCCTTCTAGAAGCACCACTTAGCTGCACATTTACTCCATTTGCCAGAATTGCTGACTTGCTTTCTACCTACTTGTGTAGTTTTCAGAGGGGCTTTACAGACATACCCTAACCCTAATACTCTATTTGGTTCAAATAGTAGAGTCAGCCTGGCCTACATTTAATATTTCTTAATTTAACTAGTGTTACATTTGCAATTAGTCATGTAGATATTTTTAAGTGACAGAGGGAAGAACAGAAGATGCTAAAGGTTTTCAAATTTATACTAGGCTTCTGTCTCTATGCTGACTGTAGCTCACTAACAGCTGTACACGCCGCTAGTACACAGCGCTGCAGTATTGCCATGACTCCAACTTGATGACAGTGCCTCAGGAGCACCCTTATGTCTCATTCTCCATTTCTTAGGGCAGAGTTACATGACCCCCCCCCCCCAGACAGTACACCATTGTTCTATTTATTTCCATTGCATTTCATTTTTATTTTTTTAATATTTATTTGCACATGCATGATAGAGGCAATACCAAAAATGAGTTATTTGAATAAACCCGGGATTACAATGATAGATTGTGCAGACAGGGAAGGCTGTCATGAGGTGAAGAAGAGTAATACTTCATTTCCAAGATCTAGTGGGAGTAAGCCCATTGCCTTCAGAATTTGTCTTGCAGATGCACCAACCTGCATGTAGTTCAAGATTTTTATTTTTTTATTTTTATTTTCATACTGAGTATTTTTGAGGATACACTTATTAAGGTATGAAATTCAGTTTGCAAGCAAGTAACGTAGAGATCACAGCTCTAATAACTAGTATTCAGCTTGTTATCTTGATTGAACAGTCAGTCACAAACAACTAAGAAACAATTTCTGTGTACATCACAATGCTTTATTTCAATTAATACAGGTTTATTAGCCCAGTCTGAAAAGTCTCTTCTTTAAGAGAATATACTTAAGCTCAATATAGTTATAGACAAACACTTGATATATTTACATGTAAACACACAGGCATTCTTTGCTATGCCTAGCTAGAACCTTTAGTCTTCACATGAAAGTAACAGAGAACCAGTCAGTTTCCATTTTGATTTTCTGTGGGGAGCTTTAACCTCAGAACTTTTGGAACAGAAACTGTCTTTGTCCTAGACTACCAGAAGAGCCTATTTCTCTTCCAGTTCATCACAAAGCAGAAACTCACTCCTCCTGTATTCTTAGCACTATATAGCACCCAGACAAGACGTGAGATTTTGAGCAGTTCCTACAATGTCTCAATTTAAAAGGTCAATCTTCCTAAAAAAAAAAAAAACATGAAAAGTAATTTCTGAAGTACCAACACTGCTCATACTCAATCTGTTTCAACATAAAACCCTGTGGTTCAATTGAAAGCATTCCGTATTTATGTAGCTATTAACCTTTTCAGAAGCTCTTTGGATTTGTAACCAAGGTATGGAGACAGCATAACACAGCATTACCGCATAGGATTTAACAGGCGTGTTCTCAAAACCTGAAGCCACATTCAAAGCTAAAAATACACAATCCCATGAAGTTTTGTTTTCTCCTTTTCAGCTATGTGTCTAGGAGAATTTTTTACTTCTTGTTTCCATGAGATCCAGTTTCTTCAGACTGAACTTCATATGAACTGCATAGATTTCAGATGCACCAGTGTAACAGGATAGATATTCACCACTCAGCTCCACCTTCCCCAAAGTCTAATGACAAAGGAATTAAAGAGGCAGGGGTTCTTCTTAAGATGTAATATCTATGCATTCCCTGTTTCAGACAGAAAGGTTTGTACAGCTTCATGCTAATAAAGAACAGTTACCTTGAGAACCTTTTTCTATTCCTATTCAACAGGATAAGTGTGGGGGAAAAACAGGATTCAAACTCATGTTTCCAATATTCTTACCACCTAAAATAATCCTCCCTTAACTGAGAGGCAGCACTCTCAACAGAACTTAAATTACCACTTCTAAATAATGAATTGGTTATTACCCACTGCATCAAAGCAACTTTGCAGTTATTAACACAGTAACCAGACCTACAGTTCTTCAATGTTTTTATCTGCACAGAGCAAGGGAAGTTCTCAAGAAGAAGTTATGAAGATAGTTCCACTGTTACGATTTCAACGCATCCATATTCATCTCAATACTCTGTGTGAAGTAGGGACTTCATAAGAGGAGCTTCACTTAAACTGAAGTAATGAGCTACTTCCCTGCTACTTAAATACAGGTAAGCTGAGACCATCAAGCTCGCAAGCCTAGAAATTTAAAGAAAATCAGACACACGTGGCCACTGGAAGGCTTCTAGGGGCACAGCTAGAAGGACCAGGAGGAAATGAAGATGTCCTGCTGCTTTGGGATTTTAATTTTATTCATATATCTTATGCTTATCTATCATTGATTTGTAGTAGAATTTGTAGATCAGTATGCTTCCGGTTTCCTGCTCTGGAGTACTTTCTTGGTGGAAAAGCAAGAGAAAGACTTTCTCTTGGGCCGTGTTTTACAGCTTTTTGTCATGTTTGCTTCTGCTGTAAGAAAACACAGGACAGGAAGACCCCAAAAGGTCCCTTTCCAATCTTCTTAGTATGTTGCACATAGCTAAGAACAGTTTTTCATTAAGAAGGGGAAATAGTTTCAGCTCCTGTAATTCTTCAAGAGTTGGTTTGAACCACAACACAAGACACCACAAACATCCAGTAGTGCCTAGTTCTACTTGTGGGAAGAATTTGAAGGACAAATTGCTTCTATGATATGAAAACCATGTTTATCATTAGAGTCCAAGGCTTGTTTGTCAGTCTTTGTGGGTTGGGGGAAACACAAAAGCAAAGATTCTCCTCAATGCCTACATTGACACTACCAAAAATTTGCCAAATGTTTGAAGTGAAACTCTTCTTGCAGCTTTTATGTTAAACACAGTTAAAAAGGATTAGGACATGTTAATTTCCATGATGTTACAGAAGCTGATTCAAAACCTCTGTCATTTTATCAAGGAGCCCAAAAATATTCCTTTGTCAACATGCAGTGAACACACACAGCCCTGGCTGTAACAGTAGCAGAGCCCCAAGTTTCTCTTGAGGACTAAGCTGCAGTAATAGTTTTGCTTGACAAATTCAGAGTGCTAATCAAATTATCTGGTCTGTATGCTGTAAAAGCAACTTCATCACAAGCCATCTCATTAAAATCCAGTTGCTGGTTTGTGCATTCTTCCATGTTCAGCAAGCCTCTAGGAAGCATAGTGTCAATGGGAGCATATAATCTCACATCAGAAATTTGTTGCAAACCAGCACAGCTCCATGAAGTTCTCCACAACTTGTCAATTTCTTTAAATGTCTGTCCTGAAACAAACTCAGGTATTTGCTTTAACTCCACAAGGAAAACAGTTTCTACATTGCATATCTATTTCTGAAATCCTGCTAAGATGATCTATTATATCTTAAATAATTTCAAAGCAAAGTTGGCCAGTCCTTTTATCTCATCATATTTCTGTGAAGTAAAAACTGGCCTTGATTTCCAGACTATGAACAATCCATAAGGCAGGGAATTGACACAACATTCATGCCTACTTGCTAGCACAGATTTTTTGTTTTAGTCCAGAACAAAAACAACAACATGAACAGAGATAACTAAATTTCCTTGTGAAAGGACTCTGAATACAGCTTACAGACTCGGTGGCCTTACACATAATATAAGAACAATGACAGCTGAAGCTAATGGTAACCAGTTGCATACTCTGTACCTTTCAGAGTTCATCCCTTCCCCCAAGGCTTGCCCTTCGAAGGTCAAAGCACATCCTTTATCTTCAAAAGAGTTCAGAGACAGTTTGTCTCACTGGACTCAAAGTGGCAAGGGTACAATAACTACTTCACAATTGTTCACTTTTCCCTTTGTGAAACCAGTCATTTGAGCCAAATTAATAGGGAAAGCCTTTGAGAAGAGGGAAGGGGCTCCAGCAGCAAAAAGAGAAGCAAAGGGTACTTAGCTCCATTTTCCTTCATTGTTGTCAGCCACAGTATTTTCACTGCAAACCACATCCTGTTTTTATTTACAGTATCAAGCAGATCCAGTTGTTGGTATTTCACTTCATTTCACTCCCATCTTTTCAAGACAGCTGCTCAAGTGACTATTTTAATCAGGCTCTGACCCCTAGCTACTGTCATGCACATGATAAGTGTTAGCAA